CATATAAAAACGCCACTGAGTGTGTTAAGGAGAAAGATATCCAGAGCAGAGCCTCAAAACAGAGATTTAAACGACAGTAAACAGGAAAAGTTTTTACATTTCTTCCTGTCAAAACAGCAGCTGGGTCACATGATCTGTCCCATGTCAGCTGATTGGATCCGACAAAATAGGAACAGGTTACAAATATATATATTAAAGGGGACCTATCATGCAAAATGCACTTTTGTACGTCTTTTATACATGAATATGTGTCCCCGGTGTTCCAGGGAACTCACCAAGTGTCAGAAAACACAACCCTCTCTATTTTCCTCCATACCCAAATCTCTAAAAAAGGGGCTGCAACGGATCTGATCAAAACTGATCCAGATTTGAACACTTTCCTGACGTCAGGAAAGTGGCGCTACGGCTATTGGGCCAACTCCACCAATCAGGAGGAGACAACCACGGCATTGCCGTTCGAAAGCGCTGGAGTCTTTGTAGTACATATGCCAGGCCTCTAGATGGTGCTGTTGCTCACAGAATCAACCCTTGCTAAAACAGATCTAAAAAATGTCAAATTGAGCAAAATGAGGCATGGCTAAAATGCATGATCTGTTTGGTATTTTGAAAAAAAAAAGTATAAATATGCCTTATATAGGTATGGTCCTACACTATATTATTCAAATATAGCATGATAGGTCCACTTTAAAGTGGACCTATCATGCTATATTTGAATAATATAGTGTATAAAATGTATAAAAGACGTACAAAAGTGCATTTTGCATGATAGGTCCCCTTTAAATTGAGAGACGATATGAAGATGTAAGAAATGTAGTCACTGTGTCATTTTTATTTTCAATAAATGAATCAACCTACACAACACTTTTCAAATGTTCCAATAATGTGACTACAATTTTAAAACCATTAAATCTACTAGCAAAATCACTTCACACATCTCCTCACACTTCCCCTGGTGGTTTTACTACATTAATAACATCTGTTTAAGGAACTTTTAATTTTTTTAATTATGTATTTTGGCCAGACACATTTTTCCCCCCATCCCTCGTAGGTGGGGGGTGTCACCTTTAGGCTGGCCAGCACACAACATCCCTCAAAATATGAACACTCACAAAGGTAATAAAGGAAATGAAAACATAAAAAGTCCTGTACCTTTGTGTGTGTTTATTTCTTAAAGCAGCAAACAGAAAATCTGTTACCGTCACCCTAACAAAATGTCTCTCTCTCTCTCATTCTTCGATGAAGAGCAGCACACAGCCACTTATCTGAACTTTCAGAAGAATAACATAAGAATCTCTTGTTAAAAACACACATGTGCTTTAAAAAAAGTTAAAGACTCAATGGGAATAGGAATGAATGAGAAAAGTAGATCTACAAGAGGATAAATATTTGAAAGCAATACAAAATAACTGAGAGCCTTATTGCATTATATCTTGATAATGGTGACCTTGTGTCTGATTTTGGTTTTTCTTTGCATGAACAAAGACATTTCTGCCATAAAGTGTTGCATAAAAACTAATCAGAATGCAGGAAACTAAGTGTTTGACACTAAAAAGCAGTGCCCACCACACATTAATGTTGTCTTGACGTTCCAGCTGCATATTAGAGTTATATCATCTAAAGATTATTGCAATGGCCAGACCTTTTATTTCTTCCAGGGGTACGGAGGATGGGTGCATCCTATCTCATAAGGGAGTACACTCAAAAACTGCAAAGCATTATCCACAAGTCTCCACAAATTGTCTAAGTCAGTTGCAGCTCAATCAGAATGCTTGTCCTAGGGATTATTTTTTGTAAAAGAATAGAGGACACATATGTTATGGCCTTAAGTCCCTGTGCTGGCTTCAGTGGGATTCATGTTAAGATGCTAACACTTTACAATAACTCCATACATGGGCATGTACTTGATTTTCGTGTTAAAAATGTAAACTGTATAGTTTATTAATGTGAGCTATAAAGCACTCCAGGAGAGGGAGACATTGCTCTAGTAATTCCTATAGTTAACATCCAAAACTGGTCAGTGACAGTGACACAAGGTTGCATCAGACAGTAAAAAGAACATCAAGGAACAAGAACAAATTGAAGAATGCCCAAAACAAATTCAGAAATGTAAAACATAATTAAAAGATTGGTGTTTATTTTTCCAAGAAACGTTAGGTCACAAAGTCTGGTATGGGGGGTGGTGTAAACCATACTTGCCAACCCTCCCGATTTTCGCGGGAGACTCCCGATTTCATTGCCCTCTCTCGGTTTCCTCCCGGGGTCATATTTCTCCCGCATTTCTCCCGATTTCTGACAAAATCAGATTTACTCAGGACTGTTTCCACTCGGACTTTAATACAGCTACACCATTGTTTGGTTTCCATGGTAGCGTAGCGCGGCGCAACTGAAAGTCTGAGAGGGTGAGGAAGATAGTCACAGCAAACAGAACAAGAATCGACAATTCTACCCTCTGCTCACTCCTTTCCTGTTTCCGGTCTCAAGGTTGGCAAGTATGGTGTAAACACTTTCAGGAACACCCACAAACATCTGCACGCCCACGGGTTACAAGAAGTCCTTCTTTGCATTCTTTACGCCTTCTGTAGTGGATGTACTGAATGCGCTAGCAGGAAACAATTACTTGAACACTTTGATGACGACAGTATGTATTTTAAGTAAAGTAGAGTCTCTTTCGACTCCACTTCGAGCGATAGAATTACTAACAAAGAACTGCTAACAAAGCACTTATATACTAATAAAGGACTGGCTTATCTAAAGCCAGTTGAGTAGCACTTGAAATGTTTTGGCTCTATGAAACCTGATGTACTTATATGATTCTGTTTTCTTCAAGTTTGTATCTTCCTGGTCGAATGTACTTATTGTAAGTCGCTTTGGATAAAAGCGTCAGCTAAATGCAATGTAATGTAATGTAAAGGACAGATGCATCTACTAACTGTAAATATTTTCCTAGGCCCATAACTTTGACCCAGTTTATTAGTTAGTACTGCCCTCGCTGAGCACAGGCCTGCCACCTTGGGCTGCTGTGCTCTCAGTGTTTTGTCTCCCTATTCCTGCCTGTTGGTGTCAGCTGATAGAGGTGTTATAGTTCTTTATCTTGTTATGCACAATGTTGATTATTCTCTCAGAACTAGTTAAATACAGGGGTCTGGGGTAGAGATCTTCAGAATTGGTTTGGCAACCGCTATGTCAACTCGTGGCACAGCACATGTCTTGTGAATTCTCCGGCCGAAGCTCCAAATAAACCATCAGTGTTTGCCATCAATGTTCCTGCTCTCCCCGTGTCTCTCTGAGTCCTGTCTCCATTGCTTCAGAAGTTTCCATCACACTGATAACTTAGTTCATAAGGTTATTCCATCAGGCTTCTGCAACAGGTGTTCATAATGAACACGCAAAGGATGGAACTCTTGATTTATTTCCTTTACGTTTTTGACTATTATGGTTGCTTCTTGTCAGAGAGTACCAGAATTCGGGGCACAGGTATAAGGTGTATCATGTCATATGATTGGGTGTGTCTGACCCCAGAAGCGCATATGGTTTTTGACCACCTTAGCGCGAGTGTTAAAGTATCGCAACGATTGTTTGTCTGAATGAAATCTGAATGGAAATGGACTCTTCTTTTACGATGCACAACAATATAGAATACATGGATTGTATTATTCTGCACCTGATAACGAGCCTACCTAATCTTCATTGAAACAACAACACAAATGGTATTGTATCCACACAGTATAGCTGGTCAGCCAGGTAATTCCCGGGAGTTAAAACACCACATAGCTTTAGCATTAAGCTAAATCTCCAACAGACAAAATTCAAACTTCAATCGGTCTGTTTATTGATATTATCTTTTAGAATTATTTTAATTTAACCGGGTAGGCAGTGGATTGAATTCCTCTCGACAATTATCCTGTTCCTGTTTTTCAGAGATTCCTCTGTCTATCTCTCTGCACTCAAAGAAATGATGTTAGATTTACTTAATCTAGTTATGTCAACCGGCTGCACGTAACAAGGCTAAGTAAATAGGAAACAGACTAGTAAACTAATATTTACTTCTTGCATTTAAGTAAATCTTACCAAAGCATCTTAATTAAATGCTACATCATACAGTTATGTTGTATTTGCTTAACAGTTATGTTGAATTTACTTAAATTGTTGTTTTTACTTAACACAATTATGTTGTATTTACTTAAAGTTTGCACTGATTTACCTAACACAGTTAGGTTGTAATTACTTAACACAAATTAGTTCCATTTATGTTGTAGGATTGTGTTATTTGCACTTAACATCATTTAATCCAAATTGCTCTATCAATATAAGTAATTCAAATGACTCCAACTCAGTAATTTGTATTCCGCTCACTTTATTTTAAATGTTCATTTTACACTTATAACATTGCATTTTGCAAACAACCATCTGAATTGCCACAACAATTCAACAACAAAAAAACACTTAACTCCAACAGCCCATTTGTGGTAGGTGCACATATTAGAATTTTAAAGCTCTTTGCGTAAAAAACCCATGACAGCTGCTGAACTTGACAGTGATGAGAAACACGAGTGACTCAAGAAGTTAACATGTGGGCTGAAAAGCTACAATAATGACTTATTATCTGAACATTTTATAAAATGCAACTTTACTATGAAGTATGGTGTTTTTATGTCTTTCCAAACACTTAGATGAAACGCATCACATAATATTGCTCAAGCACATAATGTGTTACAGTAGATCTTTGCCTCTGTTATACACATGAACATATGTCTTGAACTTTCAAAGCAGAAATACAATTGTGAGTGTCTGTGTGTGTGGGTGTGTCTCTCTGTGTGTGGTGTGTGTCTGTGTGTGTCTATGTGTTTGTGGTGTCTCTCTGTGTGTGTGTGTGTGTGTGTGTGTGTGTGTGTGTGTGTGTGTGTGTGTGTGTGTGTGTGTGTGTGTGTGTGTGTGTGTGTGTGTGTGTGTGTGTGTGTGTGTGTGTGTGTGTGTGTGGTGTGGTGTGGTGTGGTGTGTGTGTGTGTGTGTGAGAGAATGTACCGAGATGGAAATGAACTGGACGTTATCTCTGTCACAGTATTTTGTCCTTGGGATTACTCTTGTAATCTGTTTTTCAGAACCTGCACCTTGGTTGACAGTCTGTTGCCATCCAACCCCATCAATACTTTTTGAATGAATTCAAATGTATGTTTCAGGTCCTTGGGGTAGCTCAGATTGAGGCTGTAAATCAGTCCAAGCAATACTGCCCATCCATTTGCCAAGTATTTCAGCTCTCGCAGCACTCCAACACCCTCGATGATGGTCCATCATCCAACATCCGCAAGTGGTTCCCCGGGTTCTGCTCCTTCGTGTTTCACGAGATAGAGTCTCAATACCATTGGCTCCATTTGGGTTGTTGCAAGTTCAACATCCTAAAGTGGGATTAGAACATAGTATTCATGATTATCAGTATGAGAACCCTGACACACATCATTTTATAATATGAAACAAATGAGCAAATCCTTTTATTGGATCCATTGTAAATAAATACATGTAGTTGTAAATGTACATGAACAATATAACCAAAGTAGCAGCAAATACTTTGAATAAAAAACAAATTCAATTATTTTTATTTAAAGAGGACATATTATGCAAATGTTCAGGTTCAAATTAGTATGGAGTGTCTCTACTTTAAAGAGTCCTCTCCTGCTGATGTTCAGGTGTATATCAGTATGTAGTGTCTCTACTTTAAAGAGTCCTCTCCTGCTGATGTTCAGGTGTATATCAGTATGTAGTGTCTCTACTTTAAAGAGTCCTCTCCTGCTGATGTTCAGGTGTATATCAGTATGTAGTGTCTCTACTTTAAAGAGTCCTCTCCTGCTGATGTTCAGGTGTATATCAGTATGTAGTGTCTCTACTTTAAAGAGTCCTCTCCTGCTGATGCTCAGGTGTATATCAGTATGTAGTGTCTCTACTTTAAAGAGTCCTCTCCTGCTGATGTTCAGGAGTATATCAGTATGTAGTGTCTCTACTTTAAAGAGTCCTCTCCTGCTGATGTTTAGGTGTATATCAGTATGTAGTGTCTCTACTTTAAAGAGTCCTCTCCTGCTGATGTTCAGGTGTATATCAGTATGTAGTGTCTCTACTTTAAAGAGTCCTCTCCTGCTGCTGATCAGGTGTATATCAGTATGTAGTGTCTCTACTTTAAAGAGTCCTCTCCTGCTGCTGATCAGGTGTATATCAGTATGTAGTGTCTCTACTTTAAAGAGTCCTCTCCTGCTGATGTTCAGGTGTATATATATATATATATATATATATATATATCTGTGTTTGGCTATGTTTCAACTTACCAAATATTCCTTTATGAAGCTCTCGGAACTTTCATTCAAGTAGACGCAGAGCGCTTTAAGGACACAGTCCCGTCGTGTTTCAACTGTGGGATCCTGAGGGACAAACACATTTTCAAAATCTTCACACAAGAATACTGATTATGCTTGTGTGCTGATTTTTGGCAAGTCAAAGAAAGGGGGTCAGAGAGGTTAAAATATATTTATATGAGAGGGACAACAAGAGAGAGAGATAAAGAGAATATGGTGTTGCAGTGCCCAAACTACACAATTTATTACAACTACATACCTTGTCCATGGCTGCCATGATCAGGGCCCAAATTGCGTCCTGCTGTTCCCCCCTTCTTTTTGAAAACCTTCATCAACTGAGACGAATGGCGATCCAGTTGAGACATGAAGGTAGGCAGCAGCGGAACGGTGGTGATGCGGGTGAATTCTGCGTTTACCTGCAACACATTGTGATACAGGTTCAAATGTTTTGTTTAAAGCTAATAATATCCATCAAGTGTCATAGCAGAAAGGACAGGACATCTACTGGTGTAAACCAAACAAAGAATTTCAGCTGAGGTTCTTTTCTTATACATGTGCATCTATTAAAATAGCTCTGCACTTAATACAGGTAAAGATTCAACATGACATCTACTTAAATGTGTTTTAAGAGCATTCCATGTTTTGAAAGAGCATGGGCATTCATAGTATGTGCATGGATATGGGTGTCTCTGACCAAAATGGCCGTGTTTTAATTTATAGTGCTTCAGTAATTGGTACCTTGTAGATTGAGTCTCAGTACACTGTTTGCATCTCCACATTCAAAACCTAGAGAAAAAGAGAAATGTGTTAATGATCCAAATGTATTGTAAATAACAACTATTATTGCAGCCATTAACATAATTCAGGGTGTGAGGTGCAGGATATAGCAACCCATTACTGGATCTTAAAGGGCCCATGTCATGGCCATTTCCACTGATCATAATTACATTGTTGAGGTATACTAAAATAGATTTATACTGTGCAATTTTCCAAACTCACATTGGTTTCGCATACAGCATCTCTGTCAAGCATGTGTATTCAGCAGTATTCACTTTCTCCACTAAACGACTCGTTGGAGCTCTTGCCCCCCCCTCCCTGTGAGCCTAGTGTGCTCCGATTGGTCAGCTCGGCCACTCGTTCTGATTAGTCAACCACCAGAGAGGCTGCGCCCATGTCAGTGCTTTTCCCGGCTGCTCTCAGCGTAACATCAGTCTTATCATGGCGTCGGTACAGCGGTATATTTTATATACATATATATTTTTAACTGTTGTTATAGAAGAGTGTGACGGCCTCAGGGCCTTTGTCTTACGATGGGGTGGAGCTGAAGAGGCTAATCAGCACGATCACGGACACCTCCGGACACTACGGCCCCAGTCTCTCTCCAAAGCGGCTGCAGGAAGACTAACTCTGCGATCCTCTCAACCACCTATCTGCATTTACCACAATAAATGTGCCGTGGTTTTGTAAACTCGTGTATGTCTCCTTGTCTTTCCGTTGTGGCCTACGAGCTACTCTCATAACAAAGAGTAAGTTATTTTTACCCGTTATAAACTACTACTGTTTGATGAGAAATCAAATCATGGTTTGCTATATATGAATTCAGGGAAGAAAGGATAGGCCTACTAAGTATTTCCATTAAACTTTATTTTTAGAAATGTACAAAATGAACATAAATATACATATATACACGGTATATCATTCATTCCTCCTCCTCGCATCTTGCCTGCGCACAGTCGGTGCGGTGCCTTTTAGCACCCTCAGTAGTAGTAGAATCCCTTCCCCGTCATGGATTGTCCGCCAGGATCTGGCTGGACGAAATCAAATGCAAATCACAAAATATTAGAGAAACTTAGTTGTTTTTAGATTCGTTAGTAGTAGTTGTGTAATGAACAGCTTGCCTGCTAATATGCTAACCTAGCTTTGTTTACCTTGGTAGCTAACACGATATGAACGTACTTGGAGGAAAGGCAACTATAATGCAGTGTAATAAAACCTACTATGAACAAAAGCTAGTGTTCATATTAGGCTAGCAATAACGTGTTTATAATTGCAATCGTATACGGGTATTCTGCTACGTTCCGGTCATACAATGTAACTTGCATGAATACATTGTTTTGCGCTAGCATACAGCTAGCCTCGTTAGCTACATGCAGTATATGTACGGTCACAATGTACGGTAAATCACAGTACAGTTATACTGTATGAGTATTCCGTGTGTGTGACTGCAGACATTCTCCTGCCATGACAAACATGTAAGGCCATCTTGCTGACATTGTAGTTGATATATTTAAACGCTAGCAACGTAGCATCACAAAAATGTTTTTCTGACCAAAACTAGCTCTAGCTCCGTGTGTTAGATCGCTACGCAGCTTATAATGTAATTACGGTTTCGCTGCTGACGGCAAATCACCCGGAGTATACTGCTCAATAGGTATTTTGTGTGTGAATGCAGACATTCTCCTGCTATGAGATACATGTATGCACAGGCCATCTGCTGATATTAGAGTTTGATATATGGAAACTCTAGCAACTTAGTTAGCAACAGTTAGCACTGTGTCAATGGCTTAGCAGTTCCAACACAGTTTACACATTTAAACAGTCTTGTTTGATAAATACACAAATACAATGCAAAACTTACAGGTTGTATACCCAGATCTTCCCCTGCTCCAAACGGTCCAAACAAGCTGTGCATATCGGCCTCAAACTGGGCAATGTTTTGGAAGGCTTTCGTCTGTGAAATGCCGGTTTCTTCGAACCTCTGGAGGAGGAACACGCCGCTGCTGGTGTGGCCATAGCTCTTCGGGTATTGGTCCATTTCGTTCCGGGTACCGCATGACATCAGGCGGTACCCGGAACTAAATGGAAGACTCAAATGGGCAGTGACGTATCTCCAACGAGGCGTTTTGGGGAGGTATTTTCTGTGTTAGAGTTTTACTCGCTACAGGGTGTACTTTGAGGGTTTTGACTCTGCACACCGTTTACATGCATAAAAACCTTCATAACACACAAGGGGACGGGTAATAACCGGAAAAGCATGACATGGGAGCTTTAAGCAGTGGTGGAAAAAGTACTCAGATCCTGTACTAAAGTAAAAGTATAAATACTCCATTACTTGCTATAGTCCCAAGTTCAAAATAATACTTAAGGTAAAGTTCCAAAGTGTTATTAGCCAAATATAATAAAGTATCAAAAGAAAAAGTACTTTGTGCAGAAAGCCTTTTGTAAAAGGGTTGCATCATAGAATAAAAATGAATGTTCTTATAATAAAAAATCTACATATATACAAGATTTTTTTAATGTTGTGATTTGTTAATATAGAGCATATTTTGGAAAGAACCGAGTAAATTAGTAGTACATGTATATGAATATAAACATTATCTAAAAAGGTAACTACAAGTGTCAAATAAATGTAGTGTTGTAAAAGTACAATATTTCCCACTGAAATGTAATTGAGTAGAATTACAGAGTAGCAGAACATGGAAATACTTTTCCACGATAAATAACTGTTTAAACACAAGCAGTTGCCACGGCAGGTAAGTGGCAACTGCCACACACATTCGCTTGGCTCGGCACCCAGAGTAACACCCCTTCAGCAGCCGCAGTTGTCTCAGCAAATAGTGGCATCTGCGGCTGAAGTACCTGCCACTATTTAATCTTGCTCTCTCTCTCTGATTATTATAAAGAAACACGTTTTCGGGTGAATTACGTGTCTATTTAAGAGCTGTCTTAATGGAAGATGTGCTTGTTGAGTGTGTTCCTGTACATGCTTTAAATAATTCACACTTTGATATTCCTGGCCGACATAATTAACGTAACGACCAGGCACGGCTCCGGCTGACGCAACAGTACAGTGCACAGATGGGATTTTATTTCTTCCAAATAAGCTTTACAATTGAACAAAAAAAACCTCCCTCAGGGCGTTACACTTGATTGAAGTTATTTTTAATAGACTTAGAAGACCTTAACCGACTATGACCTTCTTGGCACTGGAGATGTTTGCAACCAGGCTCTCAAATCTTTAAATCAAGCACATTTAAAAAAAAAAATTTAAAAAAAAGGAGGGAAAAAACGTGTCCACTTACTTTTGGTAAGAGCTAACATTACTATTATAACCACATCAAGCTAAAATCATTAAATACATAACGATTGACTTATACAGACAAAGCTTGAAATGTCACCTCTTTTGTGACATATTCTAACACTTTTAAGTGCAAGGGAACATAATTAAAAAGTGATCGTTAAGCTAGCTGTTAGCTAGCTGTTAGCTAGGCTGCACCGCTTTTCAAATCTATCATCAAAGTATACAGTTGGTAGCAGGGAAATCAAAAATACACATCAACTTTTGTATTTCATGGACCGTTTGTGTTTAATATATGTTAATATTTAAGAAACTTACCATAACATCGCAGGATGGCACAGGAAAGGGAAAAAATGCGGTTCTGTCATCTCACAGTGATACAGGATTCAAATGACAAATGTCCCCGGTCTTACAGCGCATGTGCTGAGAAAGTACGGCAAGCACTTTGGGACAATCAGTGCGTTTTAAATAACTTTACCATTTAAATACAACACAACATGGTAATGTAATCCCAAAACTTTGAACTTTTACATAAATGCAATTAAAGTCTCTTGATTTAATTGTAAAAAGTGCATTTACTTAGTAGTTTCAATATAAAAAAAGCAATTAATGCAAACAACATCCATATTTCATTTCTAAGAGTGTGTGGCACACGGTTTCCACTTGAGTCTTGTCACAAAGGCACTTACCAATAGCATTGTGTACACAGTAGTGCCACATCATGCCATGGCCTGAACTAGGGGTAGCTTGCACCTGTTTACCATTCACAGTGTCATCTTCACAATAACATATAGGAGGCTCAGAGTCAGAAAAACAGAGTTTGAGTAGTGGTCTGAGTTGCAGCATATTTTGGCGAAACCTGCCAAACACCCAGGCCAGTGTTCTCAGCATCCAGTCCAAACCCTGTTTGATGATCACAGAGATGGTGTTAAAGAGGGAATAAGTGCAGCACACTCCCAAGAGCATCAGGAGACAGTTTGCAACCTGGTATGCCCATGTGTCCTCATGGTGCTCTCTCTGGCCACTAACAAAATCCCCAAAGCCCACTGTGCTGAACGCTACAAAGCAGAAGTAAAGGGACTGTGTGTAAGTCCAGCCCTCCATGACTGAATAGAGAGAGGCAGCCCCACAAGCAACCAGCAGGACAGCTACAAAAAGGATGAATGTGACTTGGTATACAGATGGTTTCCAGTCTTCATTTCTGTCATCTTCACTGGTTCGGCCCTGCAGTCCACTGTGTTCGATTCTCCTTCTGTGACACCTAAATATAAGCAAGCTTAGCATTGTTATGACTCTCTCCAGGAAGAGATTGAAGAAGAGTATGGTAGCCGAGCAGCCCAGCAACCCATAGAGAACGAGCAAGGCCTTCCCCGTAACAGTGATCGGGGCTGTCACTCCGAACCCTAAAAGAAACATTTATGGTTAAAGCTCTCATCTGCAATTACAGACACTATCATACCATTAATGTCCTTGCACATAGAATTGTATTTTTACCACTGTAAAATGTGTTGTGTTACGCCATGGCCTAGCAAGTGAATTTTGGCAATATTAGGATGGTAGATAGTTTTACTATGTAATATTTAAAACAAGAAATCACCTGCCTTTTTACTTTTTACTATGAGATGAGAAAACACTGAAGAACTTTGATGTATATATGTCCTATTGCCCTGCATATTTTTTTTTTTCTGGCCGGTTATAAATGATTTATTTAATGTGCTTAAGAATAAAAGGATGCACCTGGCAAAGTTACACTTTTATGCTGGTGTGCATAAAAAAAACCCATAAAAGCCTAGTATATTTTTTTGGCCATAAAAGTGTTTACGCTTCCTACAAGTTCCCTTGAACCATAATTGACCTTGGTCAAATGAGACCGTGTGATATATTGAACTTTGTCAAGTAGCAGAAGTCGTGGCGGGGGTTTTGACTTCCCTCCTTCCCTCCTTCCCCTTTGGGTTTGTTCTTGTATTATTAATGACCGGATTCTACTGGAATTCACCAATCCCCCAATCCCCCAAGGAGGTAGAATTGTATTAATGTCTGTGACGTTGTGACCTTTACCCCAAAACAATTCAACAGCTGCTGTAAAGCATCTATTTAATATTTAAGACAAACTTATCTGTTAAAAACATTTTACAAGTACATTTACCCAAGTACACTACTTAAGTGCAATTTTGAGATAGTACTTTACTTCAGTATTTTAATTGTTCTCCCCACTACAATTCAGAGCTTAATCGTGTATTTTTACTCCACTACATTTATTTCATACACTAGGTTCCTTTGAAGATCTATGATATGAAATATAATTAATACCTAAATAAGACTTTGGTCAGACCTGGAGTAACATTCATAAGCTATCCTGCAGTATATAAAGTAATTAGATGTACCTACATGTTTACCAGCTGTGATAAACACATTAATGCATCAATAATTGTAAGCAAAACATAGTATTAGAAAATGGGACAATCTGCATAATTTTACTTTTGGTATTTTTAGTATATTTTGATTCTAAGACTTTTACTTGAGAAACATTTGCATTGCAGGCCTTTTACTTGTAACAGAGTATTCCAAGATTGTGGTGTTTCTACTTTTACTTAAGTACAAGATATGAGTACTTCTTCCACCTCTGACAGCAGGTAATCCAACCCAGTATCACGGCATTTTGTGTTATAGTCACGAAATGTAATCTATTGATTTGTGTTCACCAACACGATTTTCCCATTTTATGACGATAACACAAAATGCCGTGAGACTGGGTTAGGTATTCAAAGTAACTTCACCTCGACCCATAAAACTATGGCTTACTCTAACATCCTCCTTGTAAAACAAATATTACTCATATCCTTGACCACGTGTGTCTGTTCCTGTGGTTTCATCCACTCTATCCTCTTAAACTTGTGATGGCCTTTCTGGGAGTGGCAGGTCTGGAGGACATCCGAGAGTCAATGAGGTATTGGAACACTGAAAAGGCCAATTGGACTATTAATGTACACAGAGGGCACAGGCCACACAGAGACCTGCATATGTTCTCCTGTATTCATATATACAGTATGTATATAACACATTTCAAAAATCCATGTGGATTTCACAACAACACTGCTACAACAACACTGACAGGGATAGATCACTGGAGTGCTGCAATAACAGAACTTCCAATCTTTGCATGCTACTACTGTATGATCAGCAATGACGGCGGTAGCCCACCATGTTATCCTACTGCTACCATATCCTATCCACATTATTATTTCCTTTGGCACCACTGACAGGTAAACATTTTCACTGAGAGATATTTAAAGATATATTTGCTGTTTTTCGTACAACAGGATCTTTCAGCTAGGAGGAATAGAAAAGCAGTTGAGAAGAGGGGAGGAGAGGGGATTGACATGCTGCCAATATTTTTATTGGAAGAGAGTTGAAACATTGGGCTGATTGTTCCCTACCCAAGTTTTGCACGTCATATCAACGTCAGGAAATGTCTTTATTGGGTGGACCAGGAGAACCACATGTGAAGTTTATTCCGTTTCTATGTGAAAAGATACTTTCGGTATTTGTTTTGGTCAGTGGTCTAGAGGAAGGAAAATATATCTGCCAAAGCCATGAGTCATGTGAAAAGTAAAGTATTTGATTGTGGGGAAAAAAGTTTGTCAGGATGTGTTTTAGTGTCACATAGTATCCTGATTGCAGTCAGTAAATATGGAAGTTGTTGTTAGAAGGAAATTGGCCAGGGCTCTGTGCCATCTGTCGCTTGGTTTCCACAGTGACAGAGAGGGACTAAAGATAGTAGATACAATTATAAGTCTGTAAATTGATTCTCAGAGATGAGGCTTGTTTCATTTTTATCTTGAGAACATGTTTGTCCTCTACAGGTTAAGGTAGAATATGGATTTGGATTGATTGAGTTTAAAAACAACTCCCCCCTGTATGCCTCCCCAAATCAATATGGCTTAATGTGTCCTTTCTAATTCAGTTCATAGGATTAGTTAATTGTATGTAATTGTAGATGATTTATTTTGCATGAACATGGTATGGCTTGGTCATAAAGGGATCATCTCTGTGTCAGGAAGTGCTGAACAATTGGCCTTTCTCTTATCTGTTGGTTTGTCAATTGCTATTGTTGTGTGTTATTTTAGACCTCGGGACTGTGGGAAACAGTATTTCGATCTTTCTGTGTGTACAAACATATGTTGAGATTGACAATAAAGGTGACTATGACTTTGACTTTGACTTTGATTTGTGTGGCATAAAAATGTTGGCTGCAGTAGTCAGAATAATAGGTGTTGCACTTAGCAATTAACAGTAAAACGAACCGTGTTATATTTCATATTGCATTTTGAAAGACTGGACATTCATCTGACAAAAATAATCTGCTAAGCCACATTATATGTTGCGTGATTTAAAAAAAAAAACATTGATGAAAATGATGTTGTGCAGAACACTGGAAAGATAATTGATAAATTGTGGATTAATCAGCTGATGTTACCATTTTTCATACTTTATTCCAGGTATACCTCATATTCTTCTTGACTCACCAATGGTGGAGACTACTGTTCCCACAAAGTAGAAGGCACCGTGTATATCCCATAGAGCTCTGCCTTGTTCTGCCCTGATGCCTGCAGTCCTGGCCTCTTCATAGTGACACAACAGGGATTTCAGGTCTTCAAGGTTTATGTTATGCTCATAGCTGAAGTCTCTTAGCCTCCTTTCCCAGAGCTGGTGAGCCTTTAGCTCTGCTGGTCTCTCCAAGGAAGAAAATAAGGCAGCGCCAGCCAGCATGTAAAGAGCAATGAGCGCACAGAGCAAGGAGATGCGAGCAGTTTCCCTGCTAGGGATCAGGGATGGGCAGCAGCAGGAGAAATATGTCTTCATTGTAGAGTGGATTTTTCTTCTTTGTGTGCTGTAAAGTCAAATGCTAGGCAACAGCATCAAGAGCGATGATATTTGCTCAGCTGATTGACACCATCAGTATGGTGAAACAGGAGAGCACATTGTAAGTCCAGTTCTTGTCTCTGCCTTTCTATACCTCATCCATGCACTTCTAGCATATTCAAAGCAACTTAACACATTACTTACACAGCAACAGTTTCCTCAACTGAAAGTCTGTCAGTAAGGCAGCGTCTGGGTCTACAGGTGGCATTAACTCTGGTTTAATGATCTTTGTATATGTATGGCTTCTGCTTATCACCAGCTCAATAATCCATCTTGACTCTTCTTTTTATGAGCCACAAACATATGCACTCCTGCTACCTAGCATAACACAGACAATATACAGTATGTGTTTACTGCCTGAGTCTGTATCAGATATACTGGTCCTTATGCAATCTGGTCCACGCTCACTGTTAGTGTCAAGTTATGACTCTTCTTTTTCTTTCTGAGAAGAGAACTTCATAATATATTTAGAATGTGCAAACACTACATATTTCCAATTGATCAGATTTCAAGCATCCTGTTTGAGTTTGAAAGTGTGAATCTCAATCACAAAACTTAACAGTTCCTTATAAGTGTGTTTCTATTGGAGAACTATTCAACTGAGCCGTTTTCTCCATTGTTTTAGGCAAGTTTGCAAGTTTAAGTGTAAGACAAACATAACATGAGTGGGACATCAGTAGTTGTGGTTAATTAAATGAGGTAATACATAATGGCATGTTAAGTATTTCGGTTTTATCTCAACGGCTGCCATTATGTCTGGTATGTTTGGTGTTTTCCCAATGTAGAGGAACACCCCTTTTTCTTCCTCTGAAACTTACTGGAATAACACAATATAAAGCAAGTACTTTAAATGTCACACCAATTAGTCAATGGTTATTTATAACAAGACAACTATTATTTCAGTATTACTGTAAATGGTGATCTTACACTGAAACACCAAAAGAATAGTTGTGAGGCACCATATACTGTATATGTAAAATACATACAAATAAAATACTGTCGCAAAGGCCATGCCCCATGAGTCTTACACTGTAATAATTATTTATTAACATAAGTTTGCTTGCATTGAGCAAAATAAATCCCATTAAGGTCTTACTTTGGGTAGTGGGACAGCTGTTTGCATGATGTTTTATTGTTTGCACATTTTCTGTGAAGATGTGTGCTAAATTTGGATGGAAAACTTAATAGTTTTAGCTTCAAAGGCACACACAAAACAACAGACCATGTCATGGTCTTTACTTTAAGCCCCCAAGCTCATGCCCAAAATAAGGCAAGTCATAACAAGTTGTATTATGATTGTATTTTATTGCGATAAAATGTATAAAACACAAAGGACAAAAGGATGTTCTGTCGTATATTCAAATAAACATGCAATAGATATGTAATACCAGGTTTATAACACTTACTTCAACTAGAAAGAAATTCAACTATAGATTTGGAAAATATATTTTAGTTTAAATTCATACAGTAGAGATGAACAGTACTCTACAGAAAAGGTGCAGCCTAATAGTTTGTAATAAAGACACATGATGTCAATGCACAGCTTATTCTTTGGGTGATTAGGTTTTGCTTCCTTATGGCACATTAGTACCCCTGATGTTTCTTTTAAATGAAGTCATAGCTTTATTACATAATAATGACATGATAAATCCTGTAATTTACATTTCAACGTGAGTGAATGGCATGTGTGTAAACAGTTTTCATAGGAATTTAGTGAAAGAATACAAATAATAAAGCATAACAATTAACAAACAATGATTAGCATAATATACTGAAAGCCAGGGCACATTAGCTTATTCTGTATTGAACTGTTTCCAAGACCAGTCCAAAGGCAGTCAAGACAAAGTCAATACAGAGTAAATCAGTTTCAAGTAAAACTCTGCAAAAGGTTGTTGATAATAATGCCCTGATACTTGGACATTTTGGAGGGATGGCTTGATGTCTGTCAGTCACAAGGGTGTGTTGACTTCCTGTAGGTTTAAGCCCGGGGTTAAGGCAAAGATTAGGTTAACAAACAACTTTTTACTAGCTTATTAAAAAATGTACAATTATCTGATGCAAGCAAAGGAGTATGCGCACCAGACACACATCACTGTGTGACGCAGGATGTATGGCATTGACCCGAGGTTAGATGGCAAGTTCTCAGGTAATCCTGTTTCTGACCACCACATTTTTTTTGTAACGCAAACACAGAACGGACAGATAGCTTATGAGAAGATATTCACTAAATTTGATGAAAGTGTTTTAGATTAGAATCGCTGGCTGCACCTAACTTATCGATACTTTGCACACAGAGACATTCATTTTGTAATTGTTTGTGCCATATTCTGGGAATACAATAGTAATACAACAGTGTGCCTGTGCAACCCCCTGCACTGCAGAACCTGTTTAGGTATAAGCTACTTGGTAAGGTTTAGAAAGGATAGTGTTTTGGGTTAAGGAAGTGAGGTTATTGAGTGCAAAAGATTCGGAACAAAGAATTCAACATTGACTTTTAGTTTCACACGGGACCTCAACCTCCTCCCAATAAAGACTTTGTTGCTTTTTATACTACGTCACCTTTCCTGGCTCACAATCAGGTGTGTCACATACTATTTATAGTGCATTACGTTTTTAGGTACGTATAAAAAGTGCATGAGAAAAGCCTGTCAGCCTAAAAACCGTAGTTGGCTGCGTGTTAATTACAGTGTCCCTTAAGATGATGATAATAGACAAATATTGTAACTACTTTTGAAATAGCTGATAAGTAATAAAAGACTGAAGATTTTTCAGATACATTTACCAACCCTGACCATGAATACAGCAACAGAGAAACTGGTGGTGGTAACATGTAAAGCTGGTGACCTAAGGACCATAACACTTGGAAAAAATGAAATAGAGTGACTGGAGAACAGAATCGTGGTTGAAATCAACGAAGACATTCTTTCCATCAAAGAAGTAGATCTTTCCTGGGGTCAGTTTAGGGAAGCTGCAGCAGTCAGGTGTCTTCAGGATGTGAGGCAAGGCCAAATGTGTCATAGTGGCATTTCTTCCATGGATTTCCAGCACATCACGAAACACGATGCTGTTCAGAGACACACTGTCCACTGTTCCGATTTGCACTAAACAGGGACATAAACACAAATGGTTTTAAGCACCACTGTACATTTGTCAAGAGGCATCTTTAGATGTATGTACACAGAAATGTGTAGAAAATGATAAACCTATATCTTACTTTTGTTGCAAAGATCTGATTCATTCAGATTGTTTATGGACAGGAGTTTGGATTCTGAAAGGACATAATACACATATATTATTGCTAAGATCCAGAAACTGAACCATGCATGTTAAAGTGACAAAGATCAGATACTGTTCTGTTAGGCAAGCATCTCACAACTGACCATTGATACTCTTGTTTTGGTTCTTTGCTGGACTCAGCCTGCCTGCGCAGCATGACCACAGTGAGGCGTTGAAGTACTGGTGACCACAACATCCGAACCCACTCTTTTTAGAGTAGAGCACCTCATTGAACTCGCTGGAGCAGCAATCACTCTAAATTTGAAGTAGACATTATGTATAATATGAATGGTCATATTCATGAGGAAAATAAGACAGAAAAAATTGAGATTTGAAGACAAAAGATAATCAAGAACAATTTGAATCTTAAACATGGCATTGTTTTAGGTGAAGTCAATCTCACATGTACTGTCTTCATGGCTCTGGTATTGGAACACTGAAAAGGCCACTTGGACTATTAATGTACACAGAGGGCACAGGCCACACAGAGACCTGCATATGTTCTCCTGTATTCATATATACAGTAGTAAGCTGTCATTGATCAGTAACACATTTCAAAAATCCACGTGGATTTCACAACAACACTGCTACAACAACACTGCTACAGTATGATCAGCAATGACGGCGGTAGCACTGGCTAATAGATTTTAAGTGGTGTTATTGCAGCACTCCAGTGATCTATCCCTGTCATTGTTGTTGTGAAATCCACATGGATTTTTGAAATGTGTTACCATCAGAGATGGGGTCGTTACTAAAAAAAAGTAATATATTACATATTACATATTACTTTAAAAAAAAGTAATATATTACACTACTTCGTTACTCTCTACATAAAGTAACTCGTTACTTTACTCGTTACTTTACTCGCAGGGCCGGCCCGCCCCTCCCTACAGGCAGATCACGCAGACTGCTAAAGTTTCAAATGTTCTCTTTAGTTCAGTTTCCATTGTCGCATAAGACTGATCCAGATAGCTCTGACTATGGCTGTCCTCTGTGTCCTGCTATCTGTATTTTGCGCAGTATATCTCTGAACGATGCGATGGTGATTCCACTGTGCAAATGGGCAACATTACCTCTACTATGAAGGATGCTACAAGCCTGTCCATCTCTGCTTTGGTTACCGGTCCTCCAAATTCTAATTTGTGCTGCTTCGGAGTCGGCGGCGGGGCACTCACAACATCCTCACTCTGGGTTCGGGGGTCCTTAGCTATTAGCTTCACCTTAGCATGTGTTCTTTGCAGGTGTTTGTTGAGGTTTGACGTGGTGTTTGCAGCAGTGTATAACAGCTTCTGGCCTGGGGCCTCATTTATAAAGGGATATACGCTCAAAAAATGGCGTACGCCAGTTTCTACGCAATGTTTGCGATTTATAAAATACTAACTTGACGAGAAATGTGCTGTCCTCCACGCAAACTCTAACCCATGCGTACGCACTAAGCACACAAACGGGAGAGACGAGAAACTGGCGACACCGTTGGCAGAAGGAAGAATGGAGAGAAATATGTGGAAATAATACCATAAATAAAATGTTACCTCTCATTTATCAAATATGAAGAATTCATTTTCAAACATTGATTAAAGCCAATCTTTAAATGATTAAACAAACGCCTGTTTGAGACTCCTCAGTGCACACAAAAACATAACTTGGAGAAATAAATAAATACGGATATGCTATTTAAAACCACCTCGAATATGTTGTGTTAATGTTATGAAATGTTTTCTCATAAATTATGCGGTAAGCAGGAGGACAGAATAAACTGACGCCGTTTTGCATTTCTATAGGTTGTAGATACGAGCATGGTTTTATATACTATCACGTTTAATCGTGTTTTATGCCGTTTGCCAAGACTTGATAAGTCGCTCGTAAAACACAGGAGGTATGGAAACTAAGAACACCATATGTGGTAAATTGTACAGCTAATATAACACAATCCATTAGTTGTATTTCCTTTAACTGGTGGATTATGGATAGTTGCTGATCGACAGCTGGAACACAAACCACCAAATACAACAAAAATAATTCAGATCCAGTCGTCATGACTCCACTCCGGAGGGATTCCACGATCATTTCTTACAGTTTCTCATCAAGGGGGTGTCTCCTGTCCCCGGGACAAACACACTGCCTGAGGAAGGTTATGTGTATTTTTTTTGTCATTAACTTTTTTCGGACCACTTATTTATTTATTTTGGTGACGATCCGACCTCCATGCTGCTACTCTGGCTCAAACTGCATCCACCAAACAATATGATTTATCTCGACCTCCCCACAATAACCAAAATCTGACACGGTGTGAGATGTCTTTTTTAGCTGTTCTATCGTAATTTCCTGCGATCTTCTTCATGGAGTCAGTCAAAATGAATGAATGAATGGGCGTTTCTTTGACTATGTATAGGCAAATATGGGCGTTACGAGTCGATTGTGATTTATAAAGGGAAACAGGCGTAGGGAGTGCCGTACGCACTTCCCTCGCCGGTACGCAATGTTTTGTGAATCGGAAAATGGCGGAAAATTTATGTACCTATTTTTGTGCTTTGTACTACGTAAGCAACCTTCCTACGTCAATCCTACGCAAGGCGTTATAAATGAGGACCCTGGACACAGTTTGCACCTCACCGTCACATTCCTGTCTATTCTTCGGACGAACTCAAAATAATGGGCATACCTCCACCCCTCGAAAGTTATCGCTGACTCTGCCATGTTTATGCAGCACTGCACGTGGAGATGTGGACGCGCAAGTCACGCAGATTACGTACATATAAACCTGCGGCGGAAACCCCTCTTGTCTGTCAGTGTGATTATGACTGATTTTATAAAAGTAACAAAGTAACGCGTGTCGGGGCAATGTTAGTAACTGTAGTGTGATTACTGAATTATAAAAGTAACGCGTTACACTACTCCGTTACCGACAAAAGTAATATATATATATATAGTAATATTATTACAGTAACGCGTTACTTTGTAACGCGTTACTGTAATAATATTACGTTACACCCAACTCTGGTTACCATGTTATCCTACCATATCCTATCCACATTATTATTTCCTTTGGCACCACTGACAGGTAAACATTTTCACTGAGAGATATTTAAAGATATACTTGATGTTTTTCGTACAACAGGGTCTTTCAGCTAGGAGGAATAGAAAAGCAGTTGAGGAGAGGGGATTGACATGCTGCCAATATTTTTATTGGAAGAGAGTTGAGAGTTTGTTGGCCTTGTGAGGTTTGAATGTTTCTCATCATAGAAATATGTTGTCACTGCAGATACATCACACCTTTTCAAGATTCACTCACAACACTTAACAGTTGTGAAGTCGAAATCCAAATGGTTTTGGGTATCATTATTATTATTATTACAAAATCCTACCTCTGTGGTTTGCAGAAGGGATCCACAGCAGTTATAATATTTCTCTCCACTTTGTCCAGTCAGGTTGTAAAGTCTTCCCGCACAGCACTTCTTCTTTGGGTCTGAGATGTTGTAGGCTTCCCCCCCACAGCAGTGAGAGTTTCCATTTTTGGCATGCCTGGAGAAACATAGCTTTGTAATATCAAATCAGGTGATTGAGATAAAGAACAAAGGACTTGAAGCCTGGAGCGTATAGTCTTATCTTTTTAATCAGACATGCATAAGAGGCTGTTTAATGTTAATCAGTAAACCGACTTGCATCTCCAGCAGAGACGTCTGGGTCTCTTGTCACCTGAGAAGGGTAAATCCAACCTGCAGTCTCCTAATATCTCTGGTGTGGTCTACCCCACCTCCTCAAAAAAATATCTGGGTCTTTAGCTTCCCTAGAATTTTTCACCAACTAATAGATCACTTAAAAAGACTAATCCTTTTCAAGCTGGTCAGCTAGGATAGGGATTGATGAGTAATTTATATTCAACAAATTGAACTAATAGATAAACCAAAAGACCCAAAGCTTACTAAACTAAAAGAGCTGCTGAGTCAGACTTCTCTCTGGATTTGTCATTTGATTATTTTTAAGTACTGAATAAGTTAAGATTGAACCAAAAAACAGACTTGCACATACTGTAACTCGTAAACTCTTAAATGTCAGGGCCCTATCACATTTCAGTAAACGGCTGGAAAAGATAACAGGGACATGCAGAAGTATTGCCAAACCTTCCCAAACACAAGGCAGATGTTCATAAATGCAGATGCAAACCCAGACAGTCAGACATTCCTTGGCTCAATGGTGCACAAAAATTTCCAGATGTAATCAAAAAAGGAGGCACATGATCAGTGCATGGCTGCTGGAATGCCTTCCTGTCTGGGAGACAGTATGAAAACAACAAGACAGAATTTTTCTTTGCCACTCCTGTCTGAGTTTGTCTGCACCCTAACTCACAAGATAAACAGCGCAATTCCAGATCCGTCGGTTCATCTTTGAACACCCACAAAACACATACCGGACACTGCAGCACTCAAAAGTGAGCCAAAACACATACAGTACCAGACACTGCAGCACTCAAAAGTGAGCCAAAACCCTTCATATACAGTCTATGGCCAAAACATATACCAGACAATAAAGTGACCCCAAAGAAATGTTTACCGTCTCATTGAATTAAAAATGGTTTTCAATGATAAATATAAACACATGCACAAATAATCACCTGTGTCCATGGCAGCAGATGTCCTCCTTAGGAAGATAGGGTTCTCTCCCGCAGTAGTGTTGTTCAGGTGAGGGATGAGTCCCTCCAGCTGAACATACCTCTCCATCATCTCTGTACTTGTACAAGGTGCCTTTACGACAGAGGACTCCGCTTTGTGCCAAGCAATAAGACGTCTGTCCGAAGCACTTTAAGAATCACAGAAAACAAAGTAAAACTGTGCAAATGGAATTCTGAAAAAAATACAGACCCAAAATAAAAATGAAAATCGTCCTTCTGCTTGTGCCGTCAACTTAAACGACACCAATGTAAGCAGCGTCTACTGTCCATTATATCAAAAAACACAGTCACTCGCTATAAGGAGCTGGGTGGAGCTCTGAGCCCGCTGAACTAAGCTGCACCACGACAGCAGTTTTGTTTTTTACAGTATAATCTGAGATGAATTTCTATCAGTTCTAAAACTACTACATTATTTATTTGCAAAATATAAAGAAATGTGATCCAGGTCGTTGTCAGAAGACCCATAAGGCAGCCACTTAAAGTACTTGGGAGTTTAACAATTTTTTTTTTTTTTTATGTTAACCAAAAACCCCTCAAATCTCACGGTAAGGGTGTTGTTTCGTTTTCCAAAGACAAACACAGAGACAAATATTTGACCTTTACAGAAAAAATACTCCACCCAGCTGAGTTGAAACAGTTATCATGTTTAGTATATTACTTGATCTTTCCAAGGTTTCCTTCCAGTTACACAGCCATCGCAGCAGATGTGCGCCCTTGGGTCATACACAGTGCGGACACCCTCATAACGTTCTACAGAACAGACAGGGATGGTGGGGTTAGGAGGAGAAAAAAAGTATGGTTATTAGGCGGTGTTGGGATGAATGACGTTGGGAAAATTGTAACTCAGAGGTTGGGTCAATATTTGAAAAGTGAGTTTACCAGCAAATATTTCTCAAGAAAGTTCCCTTTTTGACAGACACACAAGGAGACTGTTCTCTAATCTCTGGTGGGCAAAGGGTGGAATAACATATGTGTGGTTTTATGAATTTAACATTTTCCTTGAGGTAATTCTAGCAAATATCAAATGCTATAAAGGCAGTTTTATGACTTAAGAGACTGAACATATTTAAACATCTAAAACAAGAAAAAGTCTACATTTATTCTTCCAAAAGAAAAAAAAGAACCAAGATACATAAAACCAAGATCTTATTGCTGCTTTCACGTTATGTTTCAGATGTTTCGACTATTCCTTCTGTAGTCTGTAAATCTGTTTACACTTACTAACCCATGACCCCAATCTTTCCCCAACAAATTACTACATAAACAAATCTTGACCACTCCTGTGACAGATTAGCCCTTGTATGAAGTAATGAGTTTGTATAAGGAACATGCAATGTAAACTTAGTAAGGTTGTTAGATCTGTTAGATCTGTTTGGAATAAATCAAGTCTCACACCTTTTGCAAAGGAGCGTTATATGTTTTGCTGCATAGCCATTACGAGATACGATATAAAAGCAGCTATTCATGCTTGTAACATTGTTGATGGTTCCCACATGTCATAACTTGTGCGTGCCCAGGTTATTCAGGTTAAATAGACATAATAAGATCATTAAACCTACAGTTGGTCTTCTGGCATACTTGCATATTAGCAACCCTTCACAGTTTGCCTTTAGGTGTTTTGTGTGCAACTGAGGTGAGCAAATATCGGCTCATGAATCATATTAGGGGGTTGTGTCAACACACCTCCATCAATATGATGACTTATCAGATAAAAGTAACTGATTAAAGTCCAACCCACACAAAACTACACACCCACTCACATACCTGAGGTGCGGCAACATTGAGACTTTGGCTGGTTTTTGTCACAGGAGCTGGAACCCTTTGACCCACAGATAAAAAATGTTGTCTGTTTGCTGTGGACGTGCAGAGATAAGGAAAAATAAACACAAAGGCACATTAGGCACAAAGTCAATATTTTCAACACAATATTGTTTGCCAGTTTTTGGCAATAATAGCATTTTGTTGTTCTCAGTAAGATAGTCAAAAACGTTGGTTTACTTACCAAATGAGCAGAGAAGAGGGTTTCTGGAAAACAAAACACAAATATGTGAATATCTTTAAGCAATAGAGTGGTGCAGTGACGAGTCCTAAAACCCGGAACTGAGTTAGCATTTTACCACATCCGGTTCCCTCGTCTCAGAGTCAATGGGATTTCTCCATAGGATTTTGGAAAATAGCTCGAAATAAGGTCTGTGGTTGACACAAATTTAAGAGACGGATCACGTTTTGTTCTACGACATTAAATACATCAGCAGTGACCCCACTGGTGATTTTTAAAGAGTTTACGTGTCTGAAAAACGATGGTTGTTAACAAGTGGCTGAATAGGACTACAGAAGTTGTCGAGGACGTTGTACCAAGTATTACGCCGAACACGTAAACACTCCCGCTAAGTTTGTCTGCCCCTGTTCTGCTTGAAAGAAAAAAGCAGAACAGGGGCACTAAGTTTGTCTGCCCCTGTTCTGCTTGAAAGCAAGTACCTGCGCTCTTGCAAACTGTTAAAACAAACGCTTGAACTTGTACAATTTTGAATCTGTATGTTTGAATATCGATCTTAAAGGTCCCATGTCATGCTTTTCTGGTTATTACCCGTCCCCTTGTGTGTTATGAAGGTTTTTATGCATGTAAACGGTCTGCAGAGTCAAAAACCCTCAAAGTACACCCTGTAGCGAGTAAAACTCTAACACAGAAAATACCTCCCCAAAACGCCTCGTTGGAGATTTCTCATTTACTTCCTGGGTATCGCTACGTAGGGATACCCAGTAGCCACGCCCAGAGCTATGGCCGCACCCTCTGCCAGCCTTTCACGAAACAAAGCTTCCCAAACCTTTCAGCGATTCATGCCGGATATGTACAGCGTAGGGCACTGAAGAACGATGCTGTTGTTTGGACCAGCGGGAGATTCGGGTACACAACCTGTAAGTATTCATTGTTGTTTGTATTTATGATGTTTAAAACAAACAAGGTATCTACCACGACTGTTTAAATGGGTAAACGTTTTTCGGGCCACTACGTTGGGATCGCGGAGAAATGCTCTCCGCAGACCCATTCTCACAGCGTTATAAACCTTTTTCTTACTCAATATCAAGCCACACTTATTGTTTTTACTTCGGCTGTGAGTGTTTGTGTGTGCTCAGGATGAGTTTAGCTTGTTCTCGCTGTATCTGTATCGCCGCACACGGAAGCCTGTCTCGCTGCTCCTCTGCTCCTCGCGAGCAGCTGCGAGCAGCAACGCGCCCTCAACGTCGCGACCAATCAGAGCACACTGGGCTCACAGGGAGGGGGGGCAGGAACTCCAACAAGCCGTTTAGGACAGAGAGTGAATACCGGTGAATACACATACGTTACAGAGATGCTGTATGAGAAACCAATGTGAGTTTGGAAAATTACACAGTATAAATCTATTTTAGTATACCTCAACAATGGAATTATGATCAGTAGAAATGGGCATGACATGGGACCTTTAAGTTGGCATGATGTTGAAGTCGTGCGACCCTGCTGTACTCGGCTGTAGTTCGTTTATAGCATAAAGTTAGCATTTTACTTCTGGCTATTAGATTTATGATTCGAAAATTATAAAAGTAGGGTAGACATGTGGATATTATCCGGCTGAACAAAACGTGCATTTATCAGACAGGTTCATTTTCCACCGACCTTATTTCGAGCTATTTTCCAAAATCCGATGGAGAATGCTTTAAAACATTGTGATCAATCTGAATCGACACACAATCTACATTTTAATTACAGAACTACTGCAGTAGAGTGGGTCTATTGTCAGTTGCTTCTGTTATTTTATCCATCCACTTTATTATACATGAAGTGGTCTACAGGTAATTTTTATTTTGCTTTTTTTCTAACGACAGAGAGGTCAAACACATTAAAGATATCAATTTGTTTCTTACCTGATTCTGCACGCCTGTAGAGAAAAAACACATAAAGTATTCAGTGAGAAAATAATAATTGTGTCATAAATAAAAAGTGTTAAACAGAAACAGAAACCCAGGAGCAACTGTCAGTGTGTCATCCTGCATGTTCAGGCAATCCCTTCATGCCTCATGAGGCCCGTACAACAAGGCACAATTTGGGGTTAGCAAATTAACCTCAGGGTTAACTCTGGGTTTTCAGTCCTACGGCGGTGGTTCACCCCATTTAAACCAACACTGAAATAAAAAATTAAAGAAGAGCGATCAAAAGATCAACTCGTTTAAAAGCACTGTCTGTTGACAACTTTCAGCTTGGATTGTAAAACAACATTAAACATTAAGGCAGAATGTAGACATACTAATGGGCTTAAACCTGCCTATTGATAACCTTATGATTACAGGCTTTATTTAGTCATTTAATTTATTGGTTAATATTTGAATCAGAAGCCCATTTATAAACAGATCCCTATTGTCGTTGAGGAATCTACTTATTGTTGAAGAGGCATTTTTTGTTGCTGCTTTAAGTGTCTTGTAAAATGTTTTTCTCCAAGTTAATACTTAAATTGTTATGTGGTTAGGAACTGGTTATTGGGCTCTCTATATCAGATGAATTCTAGGGAATCAGTACTGCCACATGACGATGCTCAGACGTACATAAATCCTTCTTACAGGAGCTGGAATTGATCTGCTTTGGCTCTAGGCTTCCATTCATCTCATGGCAGCACTCAGTCTTAGGGTTGTACTGCTTATGTCCACAGCACACGTGGCCACTGGAGTCTTTCTGCAGGAACGTTTTGCTATTATGCGGACCACAACACAAGTGCGTGTGTTTATCAAATGCCACTGCGGAAAAGAGAAAGATGCTGCTTAAAACGTTATCACTTTTGTCACAACAAATCTGACACAAATCAGTTTATTTTGCACACCAATACTGTGTCAGCTCTACTCACCTCTACCGCAGCAACTGGCATCTGGCACAGTTTTATTTACAACCGTTGAATCACAGCATAGTTCACTGGATATTTTGTAGGGCTTCTCTCCACAGAGAGCTGTTAAAACATATTCAGGTCAACATACAGACACCAAACACATTTTTAGCATGAAGTTCCCGACACAATCAGATTTTGCAGATTCAAAATGGGAGATGTGTAAAGGCGGAGCTATTTTTGTGTCTCAAATGAAATGTGCCGTTCATGGGAGAAATGTGGTGAAAATATTAAATTCTCAATCATGATGAACAATATGAAATTCTACAAACCAACAAATAAGAAAGATCTATGAAATTACATAAAATAAACTAGCCTTGGACACTGAAGGCAATTATAGAAATAAACCAATTACGACAAAGGCATCCGTACCCAGTATTGCGTCTATTCTTAGCATCATTTTTTTATCAAGTAGGAAAAAAGAAAGCATCAGCATAAAACATTGCAGCCGAACAAGACCCTGCAGCGCGTCGTGAACACTGCTGAGAGGATCATCGGTGCCAAGATATTGAAGTGACTGTTATTTTGTTATTTTGTAAATATTGATTGTTGTGATTTATCTTAATGTGTGCATATGTGTAAATGTGTCTGTTGATTGTATATATAGAGGATATACATATTTTATACAGATTTGTATATTTGTATTATTGTATTTTGTATTCGGGATTGTTGGAAACATTATTTCGATCTCTCTGTCTGTACAAACACACAGAAAATTTGACATTAAAGTTGACTTTGACTTTGACTGATCATATCAGAAATAATAAGCATGGCCTGAAAGTAAGAAAAGTCAAAGCTCAACGCTTTACCTTAAACTGCATTACACAGTAAGGGTCGACGTTCAAACGCACCTGACGGACAGCAGGAGGAATTGATGGATTCAACCTCAAGACTCTTGGGAGGAACAGTACAGCAGCACTGATTCCTAAGGTTGAACGGCTTATCTCCACAGCACCGGTGTTCAGTGGAGGTTTTCGGCACTACCTTCTTAAATCCTTTCGGACCACAACACAACTGCTTGTCCACATCAAAGGCCACTGTGGAAAAGATCAGGATGATATTTTCAAACTTTCATCTGAGCCACAAGTTTGAATCCTGCAAGCCACAAGGGTTTGGATCAGGGGCGTCGCCTGGACCTGAAAACATTCGGGGCTTAGCCCACAGTGGCGGCGGCACTAGTGGCATTTTTCACTGCAACACTCCCCACACGCACACACACAGTACACCCGCGACTGTTACAATGAAGGCTCGATAATCAGCTCACGGCATATAGGCAGGGGTAAAGTGGTATTTTTTATGAGTGGGGGGCGGACCTCACCTCCTCTAGAGGGGTCCGGGGCAGGGTTCGAGTTATGTGGGAGCCAATGGGAGCTGAGCTCCCATAAGGAGGGGTCTGAGCTCCCACGGACGCAGTGAAATCATACATATGTGGGGGTCGCTAATACATTACCAACAACCATTATTTTGATCACAAATAATGCATGTGTCAATGTCATGAGTATTATTTAAGTTAACGAGGTAAATAGGCTAAAAAAAATACACTGCAATACATTATTGCGCAATCTGTGCCTGTGAGCGTGCTGCGCGAGCCGAGATGATGTGTGTGTGCGTAGTCGAACCTTTTCATATTTAAGTTTGTAGCAAGTAGAGGGCTGCTGCTGTGTGTGTGTGTGTGTGTGTGTGTGTGTGTGTGTGTGTGTGTGTTTGTGTGTGTGTGTGTGTGTGTGTGTGTGTGTGTGTGTGTGTGTGTTTGAGTGTGTGCGTGTGCGTTAGTTTTAAAGACCCCCATAGAGCTCAGTTTATAACTCGAACCCTGGTCCGGGGGGATGCTCCCCCGGGAAGATTTCTTTTTAAATATTGAAGTTAAATGCATCAATCTGGTGCACTTTGAGAGCAACATGAAGAGATCTATGGATACCTCTCTCAACACCCATATGAAACAGAACTGTATACAGATTTTCTTTTTCTTTAAGGATATTTTACTAATCACTCCCCTTTTAAACTCTATTCTTGTTTTACTGCCATATAGTATTTCATAACTGTTTTTCCTTTATTCTCTTATTTTTTTTATAACTATAATGATCATATGAAGGTGTGCCGCAGAAATAATCTTTTGAATAATTTGTGACCAAACCGTTTGAGACCCACTGAGATAACTTAGACTAAAGTTAAGTATCTAAACACTCTTTAGCTCACCTGAGTCTCTCAGTCTGAGAGGAGAGGACTCTCCTCCAGCTTGTTGTGGAACAAACACCTCCTTATGTCCGTTAGTGCAGCTAGCTAACCAGATGCTAACAACACGGTCCCTGCTGGCACCGGGCACCGGTCCCTCTCTCTCTCTCTCTCTATCACACTAAATGCGCTATTGCCACACACACACAGAGCCGAGCTTGAATGACACAAGCACAGCACACGTTTATTTCCATGCAACTCTCTGATTGGTCTGGTGTCATGCCCTTGTTGCATTCACTGAACACGGGAAATTACAGTGCTGCAGTCCTCTCTTGTGTCATGATGAGGTTCACGTAAAGCACGGTTAATGTATTATATTATTGAGGGAAAATTGTCCGGGGCTACAGAAAAAACATTCGGGGCTAAAGCCCCGGATGCCCAGGCCAGGCGACGCCACTGGTTTGGATAAAGTACAGAAGAACAGAAAATAACATGCCTTTCATTTGAAATGCATAAGACTGAGGTGAACCAGTGGCAGCTGTAGGAGAATCATGACGTTTTCGTACTTAATTTCAGACATTGTATCAGAATTTATCAGATTCATATGTATGTTTTTTGGTGAACTTCTAAGCTGTTTAGTTCAGCCTGACTGTCCCGAGGCAGAGTTTAATACTCTGTAGACAAACATCTGCATCACAGGTATCTGATTATTCTGTCTGGTTACTATAAAGGAATCTACACCTTTCAGCCAATCAGAGGAAGCAAGAGTTTTTCAGGGGGAATTGTATACAATAACAAATCCTAAATTAATTGTATTATGTAAGTGTATACCCTGTTTTTATTAGATGATTTGCAACCAGCTCTACTTACCTTTACCACAACATTTGGCGTTTGGACCAGGCTTGGCTGCAACGTTAGACTCACAGCATATATCATTGAGTTTGTTGTAGGCCTTCAGTCCACAGCAAGATGACACCTTTTGACTAAGACCCTTTGTAACAGCTGTAAAAACAAAAAGGGTGTATGTCAACATGCGAACAGAGATTAATTCAAGATACAGTAACAGCCAAAAAGTGTTATATTTCTTTCGATGTGGGAAATTGAAAGCAAAAAAAAAAAATTCTGTTAATGCTGGTTTTCACTAGCCAATGCAGGGAAGTGTTTAAGTTCAAAAACAGGTCAGGTTCAAAGAGAGGACAACAGATTCAAGTGTTCATCTGCCTGACCTTTAACATTTTAGTTTCAATAATAAAATCATCAAACCACAACAGCAGCACGTCATTCAGTGCAGGTCTAGACAAAGGGTCTGTCAGTTCGCCCAGTATAAGCATTTTAACACTGCTGTTTTGTATTAACAGTGGCAGTGGTTATGACGCAATCGTTATGTTGGCTCATTGCGCATTTTTCCATTAGAGTCAGCAATGACGTTTGATGCTCTCTGAAGAAGAGCAACAAGGTTGAAGAGTAGCGGCCATTTGAAGCTTTAAGGTATCTCTAAAGATTATTATATTCCTTCTTCTCATACTAAAGCATAGTCTCTATTTTCTTAGAATTAAAATCATAAATCTAACATTGGAAGTTCTTGCTAGCCTAACAAAAATGGGTGGGAATTACCTGTTTTGTTATGTCCATTGTCTACTTCACAACACGTGCCTTCTTCAGGGTTGAAAGCCTGCCCTCCACAACACAGCCCTGCCCCTGTACAAACTTCATTCCCACAGCATTCAGCCTTGCCGATGTCATTACTTAGTTTCTCAGAGTTTGTCCTGAAAGACAGTCATTGGTATTGCATTAGCATCACAGTTATTATGTAGGAAATACAGTTATTTTACATTTAAATGTATCCTTCCTTCATGTGTATTTACATTTTAGTCTTATCCTTTGTAATACTGCCCTCTGATGGAGTTTTCTAAAAACACTCTAAACTAGGTATAGCCACAACGGTACATACACATGTCCACTCTTCGCTGTACATGCAGACATATTTCACAGGGGGAAAAAAAATCACCTACAGGAATAGATCACATGTAAACACGCCTGCTGGAAAGAGTTCTGGAATAGTTGATGAGCTTTTTAGTACAAACTATTTTGTGTGGAATGAAGGGAAAAGGGAGGACGGGAGATCAGAAGCTTTTAGTAGCCAAGTAAACTATTTGTACACAAATAAGGAATCTGAATAGTTTCTAGGCTTATGCAAATAAGGTGCTATATTTAGAAGCTGACGAGTAGAGAAGCTAGAATGAGGATGACTGTTGGGGAGACCTTCGGCATGGCATCAGGGGTCAATCAAATCGTAAAGAAAAGGTTTTTGGCACGGAGTATAAATGTATGCGTCACCTGATGATGAGTCATACAACATCACAGGCATTAACCTGGAAGACCCTCGCCCTAGGAAGAGCTGCTCTCTAGATTTAACAAACTACATATAAATGTATTTTTTTTATTTAAGGATGAATTGCTGTGGTTTTATCTTGTAGGTTTTATCGGCAGACAAAATGAGGTTGCACCGACAACAGTAAAATCATTATCACATCGAAAAGCAGAACTTGCTACATCCTGATCATGACTGAGGTGCCCTTGAGCAAGGCTCTCATCCCTCACTGCTCCAGTGACAACGCTCAGTGGCTGGCAGATCAGGTCACTCCAAGCCCAACATAATTTCATAGGAAGGCCAATAAATAGCATGCCACTTTCTAGTGCGATGTCTACACATTATCGTCTTTTGCCCTATTTTCCTTACCAACTAGAGATGCACACTGGCAGTTTAAAACATTGGATTGGGAGTGATGAAATCATACCAACTACTTGGTTAGGTTTAAGAAAGTATTTAGTTTGAATTATAATAATGACATTGTTATGTATTGTAATAATACTAAAATAATATTAAATAGATATAGCACTTTTCAAGACGCTTTGCAAAAGTCACATTTAACAAACACATTCATACAAGAAAGACAGATAATGTAACATTCAGATTGGCGGATGATAGGTTGGTTGATTGTCTGATGTGTATAGGGAGGGCGTTCCAGAGGGATGGTGAGGCAGCCCCCCAGGTCCGGAGCTTAGTCAGGTGGTCTTTAGGGTGTTTGCATCTCCATAACTAAGGAAACTTAACAATGGACATAAACTGCCTCCCAGACTTGAGTCCTGGACTTGGACTCGAGTGCCGACTTTCGGGACACGTGACCCAACCCGGACTCGCGCAGTGATGGACTTGGACTCGAACTGGGTCTCATGAATTCTCGCGCACTAGGACTCGGACTTCGACTCGCGCACTGACGGACTCGGACTCAAACTCCGACTACCGACTGACGTTGGTCTCGAACTCTTGGAAGTTTTCTCGAGTCCGGACGTACTCTTCCCAGCCGGTGTGCACTTTGCAGCTGCAGGGGGAGTTCCCGTAGCGCGCGCCCCCGCTATTCCCAGTGTTAAAATGTACAGAGCAGTGGCGGCTCCAGAGTATTTTTGTTGGGTAATCTATGGTAGGGCTAAAACCCGGCGTCATGGCCGCCCATCCAGGATTTGGGCCCGCCCATCCAGGATTTGGGCCCGCTGTTTTAATTCAGGGCAATACAACATTTTAATTGTTTTATTATTATGTTTATTGTTGTTATTTGTAGGGCTTTGTCCTAATATTTATTTTTGTTTTAAACTATGTTGAAAGATTAGTTTAATATCATTTTTGTATTTTGCTATGAAATTCTGAATGAAATTCTGAATGAAATTCTGAATGAAAGGCTGCGCGTGAGACTGGTTTTTCGCTGGGTTGAGTCGTGTGGGTTTTTGAGTGAGATGCGGCACAGCAGCCTGTCAGTTTACTCTTGCTAGGTTAGTTTGGCTATTATCATTTATATTTATCTGCAACAATGGATATCAGGAAGTGGTTCATGAAAGGAATATGGCAACTCAGCGCCAGATGCAGCCACATTAGAAGAAATCAGTTATGTTACCAATGAGCTAGCAAGCCAGCCAGGGACAAGGGAGGCTGGCAATCAATTATATTTTGAAGAGAAATTGACTCTCAAGCCGGTGTTATGCCGTAGGTTAAAGCCTTGCCGTAGATTGAAGCCCTGTTCGCGGGGACGCGCACAGGTGACATCATCGCCTGTATTGAACTTCGCCTAGTTTTCAAAGCTTTTTTCTCTCTTTTGAATGATATATTTCACATCAGATTAAACAGCAAACGGCTGAATAAATAATGTGCATACAATTGCAAGGTTGCTCATTTTAAGGAAAGACAATGAAAGGATAAGATGTCATTTGTCAGTATAGTCCTATTTCTTAAAACCTTCGCTGTTGTTTAAGTGTCTGATACTTGATAACCACGAATAGTAAGCAATGATAGTAATGATATATAACATATATGATAATGTCAGACACTGTGTTATTTTCAATCAAGCCTAAAAGATCATTTGTTCAAACTAGCTCCACTCACTTTAATTGCTCCTTTGAATGTAATTGTCCTCTGTGGTTTCCTACTCAACACATTTTTGTATTGTAATGCCACTCATATTTTATTTTTTATTTTATTTTAAGGTGACATTGAATGTTTTGAAAGGTGCCATAAAATAAAGTTTATTATTGATCTTATATCTGTGCCTATATCACGCTATTAATGTTCCTTATTTTAGACTAGGTTTTTCCTGGTGTCAATAGGGAAGATCTGCAATGTTCTCTACATAACATGTTCAGCAGAGCAGGTATTTCTCCTGCCAGATATGGCACCCCCCCTACAACTTTGTCCAGGACAGTCACACCGTCACCAAAATCACACTGGTGTTGCCTGTTCCCCTCTAGTGTGTGCTCACAAACGCATTTTACTCTGGGCCCATTAGGTAAAAAACTAAAGAGGGGCTTCCATATCCGGCAGAGAAGGTGCTGCCAGATATGGCACCCCCCCTGCAACTTTGTCCAGGACAGTCACAACTTCACCAAAATCACATTGGTGTTTGCTGTTCCCCTCTAGTTTATGCTCACCAAAGCATTTTACTCTGGGCCCAGCAGATAAAAAACTAAAGAGGGGCTTCCATATCCGGCAGACCAGGTGTTGTATAGCTGCCGGATTTGGAAGCCCCCCTATATCTTTGTCCAGGATAGTCACAACTTCACCAAAATCACACTGGTGTTGCCTGTTCCCCTCTGGTGTGTGCTCACAAACGCATTTTACTCTGGGCCCATTAGGTAAAAAACTAAAGAGGGGCTTCCATATCCGGCAGAGAAGGTGCTGCCAGATATGGCACCCCCCCTGCAACTTTGTCCAGGACAGTCACAACTTCACCAAAATCACATTGGTGTTTGCTGTTCCCCTCTAGTTTATGCTCACCAAAGCATTTTACTCTGGGCCCAGCAGGTGCAAAACTAAAGAGGGGCTTCCATATCCGGCAGAGAAGGTGTTGTGGCTGCCAGATTTGGAAGCCCCCCTATAATTGTTCACCTGCTGGGCCCAGAGTAACATGCTTTTGTGAGCACAAAGTAGAGGGAAACAGCAAACACCAGTGTGATTTTGGTGAGTCTATGACTATCCTGGACAAAGATATAGGGGGGCTTCCAAATCCGGCAGCCACAACACCTGGTCTGCCGGAAATGGAAGCCCCTCTTTAGTTCTGCACCTGCTGGGCCCAGAGTAAAATGCTTTGGTGAGCATAAACTAGAGGGGAACAGCAAACACCAGTATGATTTTGGTGAAGTTGTGACTATCCTGGACAAAGATATAGGGGGGCTTCCAAATCCGGCAGCTACAACACCTGGTCTGCCGGATATGGAAGCCCCTCTTTAGTTCTGCACCTGCTGGGCCCAGAGTAAAATGCTTTGGTGAGCATAAACTAGAGGGGAACAGCAAACACCAGTATGATTTTGGTGAAGTTGTGGCTGTCCTGGACAAAATGATAGGGGGGCTTCCAAATCTGGCAGGAGAAATACCTGCTCTGCTGAACATGTTAGAGAACAGTGCAGATCTTCCCTATTGACACCAGGATTAACCTAGTCTAAAATAAGGAACATTAATAGTGTGATATAGGCACAGATATAAGATCAATAATACACTTTATTTTAGGGCATCTTTCAAAGCATTCAATGTCACCTTAAAATACAATAAAAAATAAAATATGAGTGGCATTACATTACAAACATGTGTTGAGTAGGAAACCACAAAGGACATTTACATTCAAAGGAGCAATTAAAGCGAGTGAAGCCAGTTTGAACACATTATCTTTTAGGCTTGATTGAAAATAACACAGTGTCTGACATATGTTATATCATTACTGTTATATCATTGCTTACTATTCGTGGTTATCAGACACTTAAACAACAGAGAAGGTTTTAAGAAATAGGACTATAGCTACTGACAAATGACATATTATCCTGTCATTGTCTGTTCTGTAGGAAGGAGGAACATAACAGAGTGGACTCAAAAACGGAAGTTTGTTCACGAAGATTGTGACAGATCTGAAAAGTGTCCTTAAAACGAGCCTCCTCGCAATTGTATACACATTATTTATTCAGCCGTTTGCTGTTTAATCTGATGGGAAATATATAATTCAAAAGAGAGAAAGTAAATAGTATCTTTCGTTTTTCCGCTTAGAAAACGAGACGAACGCTCAATACAGGCGATGACGTCTCCTTTGCGCGTCCCCGCGAACAGGGCTTCAATCTACGGCAAGGCTTCAATCTACGGCAGGGGTCGGCAACCTTTTTGATATGAAGTGCCATTAAAAAAAAAGATTGTTATCAGCGTGCCAACGATCCAGAATTATCAACGGGGGGGGGGGGGGGGGGGGGGGGGGGGGGTTGAGGAGCTTGACGCTCATGAACTATCAACAGGAGGGCGGGGGGGCCTCGCTGCGGGGAAGCAGTGTGTGGACCTGGTTTAAACGGCATAATAATAAGGACGATCGTCCGTTCTGTGATTCTCCAGAACACACATGTTATGATATTAGGGTCATGCAGAGTGAGATGAGATCGCTGTCCCTTTAAGAGAGAGAGAGAGGGGTGTGGCGTGTGCATGTGTGTGTGTGGATGGTAGAGCGAGAGTGAGCGAGCGTGTGTATGTTTCTGGAAGTGAAACGAGGCAGCAGAAAAACAGGTCTGTGATGTATTTTGTGAAACAGAAGAACAGCTAAATAAATGCAACGGCCTCCCAAGAAGAGCTCGCCTCTCTCCAGTCATTTAAGCTAAAGTGGGTTATTGAACCTGAAGCTTGTTGCTTCTGCCCTCCTCGACTACGGTCTGGGAGCCGACAGGAAAGTTCAACACACAGATGGCCAGTCCGCCCCTTTGTAGCATATTATTTCAATGAGAGATGAGCAGATCGCCACTGGGCTTTCAACTAAAGACACAGCCACGCAAAAACTGCGGCATTTGTAAAGCTTCTTATGGGTACTGCAATTTGTGAAGTGCTTTCCTCTGTGGTGAAACGATCAGCCCTGCACCACGGAGGAAAGCGGCAGAAAGTCACCTGGAGTTAAAGAGAGCGGGGCTGCGCTGCGTGCGGGGAGACGCGCTCTGGCGGCGGTCTCGTTCAGGATCCGAAAATACAATTTAAATATTTTGCACACTTATTCGACTTATTCCTAGGGTGCCACTGGTTACGGTGCCGCGTGCCAATGCTGGCACGCGTGCCAGGGGTTGCCGACCCCTGATCTACGGTATAACACCGGCTCTCTCACAAACTCCTGCTCTGTGCGCAAGCAGACCACTGCACACGCTCTCTGCCTGCCTCGCTCAATCTCTCTCTCCCTTTCTCTCCATCGCTCAACCTCACTCCACGGCCCAATCCCAAACCGCCCCCTACACCCTACACCCTACCCCTACAAACTACCCCTCCGTTTGCGCGTTCGCGCGGAGGGTCCGCCACATTAAGTGCTGTTCCAAACCAACGAGTGTGGAGCGGTGTGGAAGGGGGGAGTGGGCTATCAAGCCCTCAAACAGCGAGTCTGCATCAGTGCTGACTTGAGACCGGTCTCTACCTGACCGGAGTCACGCTGTGTGTGTCCGTCAGGAAACACGCTGTTTACAAGTAGTTCCAGCAAACATCCACTGATAAATTGCGATGTTAACAACCTCATGATAACCTCATATTTTTTTAACTTAGGATCATACCTGTGTTTAGTCTAGAAAAGGTAAATGTGTGCATTTTATTATAAAGTTGTGTATATTTACAGACTGTTGCAAAAACTAAGAAGCTTATAAACATCAGGTTTAAAACTAAAAGAGCTTTACAAAAAAGTAACACAATGAAAGATGTTTGGAGTTTTATTTGAGTTATTAATTTACATTTTTTGTCTAAGAGATGCTGATTTGAAACCGTTGTTACATACAGTTAGGCATTTCCTGTTTCTGCCGGAGAGAGGGGAGTTTGTCCCAAAGCTTGCCGCTGTATTTACTCCCTCCATCTGACAGGAGGGAGCCTCATTCAGCTGCGAGTGGCTACAGACGGAGTTCACTCCGCCACGGAGGGGTAGGGTCGAGGGAGTGGTTTGGGTTTGGGATTGGGCCCACCTCTCCACCCTGTGTGCGCTCCTCAAGTTTGCCTGTGCTTGCCCAAGTTGGCACAGCGTTACAAATGTGCCACAAAACCAACCAATGGATGTAGCCTATAATAAGACCGTCAACAGCCTTATGGCAACCTAAAACCCCTCTGTTTCCGTAACAACAATTCACGAGCGCCCCTCACCCCCCCCCGTTGACAATTATGATTTCCCGGGAAATGTAAGTTTCGGGGTGGGCCCGCCCTGGTAAATCAAATGCCCGCCCAGAGACGTATGTCTGCCGCCGGGTCTGCGTAACCCATACAGTGGTGGGGCTCAAGTCAGTATTTGCAATGTAATTATACACGCTATATCGCCTCCCTTGACAGTGAAACGCCACGCGTGAGGTTTAGATTATTTCCCTGTCTCAATCCAAATTGAACTGTATGAAATAAAAAGGCACATTTGTCTTGTAGTAAATAAAAAGGGCGACCTGGAGCCAATCCTGCAATTTCCCCACAGGTGAAAGAGTTGACATGCTGAACACCCTACCCTTGCAGGGGGGTCTGGGGGGATTTTCCTCCAGGAGATTTTTTGAAATACTAACATAAAATACACATTCTGGTACTCTCTTGAGAAGAAAAATAAATAAATCTATTACTACACGACATATTTAAAAAAATGAATGCCATTTTTGTTTTTTGTTACTTTGTTCTGAAAGCTGAACCTGCTGCTCCTAACAGAGAGAAGAGGAGAGAGGCTGTGTGAATTACTTTACATTGTGGATAAGGGTGGATAGCCCCCATTGTTCTGTGTGTCAAAATGAAAGACAGCCCACACACCTATCAATCATCAAACCGTGGGGTCTTATTTCATTACGTGTTGATTTCTATCAACACGTAATGTTGTATCGATGTATAGAGATGTAGCCTACTACAGCAAAAGTATTCTCCGTCGGGACTTCCTGCAACAACACCACGCCGTTATCGTGATTCTGATTGGCCAGAAGACATTATCAAAGATGTTTTATTGAGAAGACGATCACTACGTGACAAAAGTTTTCAACACCGTTTCTAGTCTTCGGTATTTCCAGACAAGTGGCTACTGAAATCAATCTTACTAACTGCTGTCTGTGCAATTTACTCCGCGCCAGTTGGCGGACTTTATTTGGCTTCATTTAACCTCATTTTTCATGGTGGGGCTAAGGTGGGGCTAAGCCATTTCTTGGTATGACTGAAGCCTACCCCAGCCATACCCTGGCGCTGCCACTGGTGCAGAGACACACACCCCCATATCGTGCTGTGTGGTTTTACAGAAAGAGCAGGCAACATGCTCTTTAGGTGAAAGGTCGATTGAGGAGAAGACTGTGACAACGTGGAATTTCACGAGGAAAAGTTCACAGTGTTATGGTGGTCACTGTTTCACATTGAAAATTGCACTATGCTATTCCACTGTTAACATCATTTCAATGACGTTCACAACAACAAACCATTTATGTTTATGACCCATCCCTAATACAATAGGGTTGACTCGGACTTCGACGAGTGGGGACACGAGATTGACTCGTACTACAGAATTGGTGACTTGACTACAACACTCCTGCCTCCTTGATGAGAGTCAAGTGTCCATCAACTCCATTCTCCTCCCTTCCTCAACTTTCTTGCTTTTTAATATGTGCTTAATATATGCTGCCACCAGAGCAGGCATAAATTAAAAGCAAATTATTTGATAAACTTATGTTATTCATTTGAATCGAGTGCTACCAGAAGTGGCTTGGTACTGGGCCAATAATTTGGTGCTACGCCCCTGTTTGTCACTACACATGTTTGAGCTTCTGTACTTGTGAGCTACCTCACTCACTTAATGCATTCTTCAGCTCCCAATCCAGGGTCTAAAACTTTCCCTTCGATAAAGTACCCTTATCTCAAAGGCATAAAAAAACAATCTTGGTCCTCTCACACCCACACACTCAAGAAGAACACTTACAGGACGCAGTCGCTTTTAGGGTCTTCTCTTCCTCCCATGGCAGCCCCTGCACACAATCCCAGATATGAGTCATTGGGAAAATAACAGGATTTGTTAAACTGCCAACATTTAAAAAACAAAACTGCTCCATAATCCTGCAGCAAAATGCAAGACACCCATATTTCTTTCTTATCAACATAATAAAGTATTATACAATGAAGTTGTTGTGTATAGGCTTTTACTTAAAACATGTTAAACTGTGTGAGAAAGAGAGAGTTGATGAATCAGCAGGTTCAGAGAAGATGTAGCAGGGCTAACACTACAGCTCTGCCAGAGAAGCCTTAACATCCTTCATTTTCATGCCAGAACATGCATCTTCTTGCATACAGACTATTACACTTGGAACCCATTTCTGTAGCCAACGTTTTAAAAAATATCCATTGTTTGATTAGTTATTTAAATAAACTGTCCCCCACATAATTTAATGACTTAATGAGTGAGGAAAGACTAAACACCAAAATTATAACGGAACAAGAACGGCCAATTAAGCTCCGTTATATTAGGAAAGTGAATTAGCCCACTTACCACACACATTGGAGCCGCCAATCAGCCAAACGGAGGAAATGTAAGCGAAAGCAAACAGCGTGAGCATCTTAGAGCCTGTTTGGTCAACTGTTAGAGTGTTGCAAATAAAAACGATAGGCCTGTATAAATAATATCAAAGGGGCACTCCTCCTTCCTTATACACACCTACAAATATGTCACCCCATCGCTGAGTCCTGGTCATGTGACGCAAATAAGACACTAGACATCCTAATTGGCGGTATACTAAACCTCCCCAGCATGTCTTTAAGCTTATTAAGGTCCAAATATTTCATAAATATATCAATTTGTTTCATGGAAAAGTGATGTCTTACTCCAACAAAATATCCAGTTATTATCAAGTTGGGGGGGGGGTTACAGATGTCACCACCATGTGATCGTTGAATTAAAGAAAGGGGGGTGAATATGTTCACCGGTTGTTTAGTCTGCTTTTCTTTCTGGACTCGAAGCAGACGCGTTGACGCATTCACCAGCCACACACTTGTCCTTTATAGGTGGAGGATTGTTATGCTTATTAAGGACACTGAGGTTTCCAGCTATTCATTAGACACCAACTATATTTCGTTTACATGCAACTGAAGTACTCTCTAATTGTAACTTAAAATCAACATGCAGGCACTGTTAAAAATGAACATCCTGGTTTTGAGAATTTAATCAGGTTAAACTGAGACAAGCCACTATAAGAACAGCCAAACTTTTCACTCATCAATCCGTCAATTTGGGCTTACTTGTTTATCCCCCGAGGTTCTTACTAGTTATCTCATGTGCAGAGTTCCTCATACATTACGGAATAAAACTGTGCGTGAACCAAACAAAAACTTGCCCAAATGGAGTAGCCAGAATTATAGCCGTGACAAAAATCGTTTGTAAAAGTAGACTACAAGCCTCCTACCTCAGAAATGTATAGGCCCCTTTCCACAACTGTGTTATATTAAAACTCAAGAATACCAGCAGCACTTTTTCTTGAAGAAATTAATAGTAAGATGCTGGGCTGACTGAGCCTGACTCAGCAACTCAGCAGTCTAGAGTCTAGACGACACTGTCTTATTTTTCCATAAAAAATAAAAAAACGTTCATGTTTGAATAGAAAATCCGTGTGGGCGTCAATTTAATAAAATATCCTAGGGTAATGAGGCATCAACAAACTTCCCTCATTCAGTAAGGTTCAAGCAATGCCCCATAGTGGATGGAAAATGAATAACTAGTTCTCCCCCTCCATGCAGAAACTAGATGAGGAGCACGTTCAGCCACAGACGCATCCCTCCTCGGCACAGCACTGAGCGCACAACCGGGTTAACCCATCAATAACCTGCACTGAACATTAATAATATTTACACTATATGCACAACTTATACCTGCTCTGGTACCTGCTCCTTAAATGTTTATATATTCAATATCTGTTCTGCTCACATATATATGCACCGGTACATCGTTTAGCTCCCGTTATTTGTTATTTATATTAGCCTACTGTTAATCAGAGGTGAGAAGTAGTGGAGTACAAATATTTCGTTACTGTACTTAGCCTAAGTACATTTTTCTGGTATCAGTTTTTACTCCACTACTTATCTTTCTGACGACTTTTGACTTTTATTTCTTACATTTTTAACACAAACCTGTACTTTCTACTTTTTACGTTTTCAAAACAGGTTCGTTACTTTAGTTTTAATCTGTTTTTGGTGGCATGATGATTATTATTTAGAGTCATTGTGTGCCTATTGATTTTAACACAATCCGTGTATCTATCATTTCCCGGTCTTCTCTAAAGAAGAGAGACCAATGAGAACTTTGTAATGTTGCCGTTGTTCAGCATCGAAACATTCATTAGCTAACAATGACATTATTGTTCTATTCATATAAAGGGAGGTCAGTTACTCTATAAAACAGTTGATATAGTTATACGTTTTACTTATACATTTCGAAGCCCATCTTCTGTACTTCTATTTGAGTAAAGGATGTGTTTACTTTTGCCATCTCTGCTGTTAATACATATGTATTCTTATTTTATGTTTTACTTGTATTATTATTTTTTAATTCCTTTGTATATTCTATTTGTAATATCTGTGTTTCTTCTTATTCTGTTGCTGAAACGTGAATTTCCCTGGGATTATTAAAGGTCCATTTTATCATCTTAACTATCCAGAAATTCTACATTTCACACAATAATAATACCCATTAACACAATGCAATAATAATCTTCCTTCCGTTCCTATAGTGTGACTGAGGGAAGCATTGTATGTGTAAGTGTATTTGTGTGAGAACTTCGTTAAGAAAAGAAAAAGGACATAAGAAAAGGCCTGCCCTGAACCACAACGGTGCAAGCTCCTCTTGAAGAAAGCATCGAATTAAATGCTCAAGTTAAAATTAAAATATCATGGATTGAAGCTATACATTTATGAACATGATTTAATTCTGCTTTGAAATGTATAAACAAGCTAAATGCATCGCTCATATTGCCTAATAAATTGAATCACAACTTTCGTTTGTTTGGGTGATTCATTTATAATTTCTAGAGAGCGTGGATCTGCTGAGACATGTTGCGACTTGATGACGGATGTGGCTCGTGCCCAAAAGCAGCATCTATGCAGAAGTGTTCCTTGAAAATGTCTCTGAAATAATCGTGCAATAAAAGATTTGAAAAAGACAAATAGCTGTATTTCAACGGAGTCTATTGCGGCGCCTATATGTCGATATTATACAATAATAATAGCAACATTAATACTAACATAAATAAGAATAAGAATAACCTGAATAACCTAGGTAATCTTTTTTAAGTATCTGCATTTTTTTGCCGAAACAGATCCTCTCGCCAGAGGAATGAAAGCCAGCTAAATGTAGGCTAATTGTCAAACTTTCAAACTTCTTGATGAAAAATTGTATGTTATTCAAAACAAAATCACTAATTCGTTATTTTGGAACATCATTTCTCCAAAACACATAACAACCCCTCAAATATTCAAGAGAATGCAAATTTGAAATATCACAAAAAAAACGTGAGCTTATTCAGAATACAAAGCAGAACCAAGAGAACCATGCTCCTGTTCTTAAATTATAATGTGCTTCCAGTTAAGAATAATATAGATATTAAATGGCTGCTAGTTTATCACTCAATAATACGGGGCCAACATGCATTTTTTTCATATGAAGATATTCTCTATTGACTCAGATGAGTTGCATTAATTGATCTGGAACATGATGAAATCAACAGACCTTGCGTGTCAAATGTAGCTTGTTGTCAAAGGCTACATACATTTCTTCAAAAACATTAAATTCAGAAGGTCAGAAAACTGTACATTTTAATTTAAAGTTAAATGTAAATCCTAAAAGTGTCTGGACCAGGGACGTTGCCTGGATCTCATTGGGGCCTAAGCCAAGCCCAACAATTTTACATAACACAAATATATACAGTGAAGGAAATAATTATTTGATCCCTTGCTGATTGTGTAAGTGTACACTTACAAAGGAATGGACAGTCTATAATTGTAATGGTAGGTTTATTTGACTAATGAGAGACAGAATATCAAAAATAATATCCGGAAATGTCCATCATATAAGAGATATATATTGATTTGCATTTAACTGTGGGAAATAAGTATTTGATCCCCTTGCAACCAACAAGAATTCTGGCTCCCACAGACCGGTTACATATCCTCTTCCTTTAAAAAAGTACTCCTATACTTGTTACCTGTATAATAGACACCTGTCCACAGAATCAATCAATCAGATTCCAACCTCTCCACCATGGGCAAGACTAAAGAGCTGTCTAAAGGCCCTGACACACCGGGCAGTCACCAGAGAACTCGCCGACACCCGACACCGACAGTTCCATCGACGAGTTCTCCTGCGTATTGGCCGTGTGTCGCACTGGAAATCACCGCAAAGACTTCAGCCGAGCACGTACGAACTGCGCATGCGTGAGTGGCAATAACTCTCCTTACCAGCAGGCGGCGGTAGTGTGTATTCGTCATTCAAAATAGGCAACAACCAGAAGACAGAGAAGAAGAACAGACTGATATAAACAAACAAATAGCATGTGCGTTCCATTTTCACTCTCGTCCATCGAAAACATGTTTTAGAATATAAAAATACATGAATGATGAAATGAGCACATAAAGTGCAGACATACTATAAAATCACAGTTAATAGACCTGCATCTGATGATCGCAGTGTTCTGGCGGGTGTGTAGTTTATTGACTCAGCAATGTAATAATGGCCACTTCTTGCTAAATTTACGATGAGATGAAAAACCAGACTCGACCAAACAAGTCACGGAGCTCTCAGCAGAGGACAGCCGGGGACGCTCCCGCCGATATCAGAGATGTCCCTGCTATGTGTGGGAGGTAAGAGAGGACATTTAAGGGCTATGTTTGATGTCTTTAAGTATCACCTGCTGGTGTTTAGCTGCTGTCTTGTGTCTTAAATCGTTTGTTTACGTCCCTCACTTCCGTTTCGCTTCTCATTTGCTAGCTGAACAGCTGATCAGAGTGGTTTCTTGGCCCGATAGCTTGTGTCCGAAATCGGCCGGGTGTCGACCGTGAAAGGCCAAATAAGGCGTGTCACGGCCGAGGGTTCGGGACACACCAAATTGACTTTGGGCGACAAGGAACCCGTTTTCGCCCAACAACGCAAGACGGCCGATATCGGCCTGGTGTGTAGGGGCCTTATGGCGCGTTTCCACTACAGCGCGCAGCCCGGTTTAAGAGGGCTGTGACGTCAGCGGCCCGTTTGTGGTTGCGTTTCCACTTGGCCTAGTACCGGCCGGCGGGTCCTAATTCACAGTTTTTCTGGCCTCATAAAATCGTGGGGCTAGGGTTTGTGACGTCAACGCTCTCGGCTGCTGATTGGTCGGAGAGAATCGTCACAATCGCGCGCGAGATAATCCCTAGCGTCGCATATATACAGCGATGCTTGCAGCATTTTTACAAACAGCATTTTTGTTAACAGAGGACTAAGAAGTTAACAATGGCAAAGAAAAGCACACCATGGTCGGTCGAGGAAGTCACGACGTTCCTCCATTACATTTCTGATGACAAGATCCAGCGGGAGCTCGACGGGATGACTCGAAATATTAAAGTATTTCAGGAGGTGTCTACACTGATGGCCACAAGCGGGTACTCAAGGACTGTCGTGCAGTGTAGGGAAAAACTTAAAAAGATGAAGGGTGAATATCGCTTGGTGAAGGACAATAACAACACCAGTGGTGCCAGTAGGAAAAACTGGAAGTGGTTTGACCTCATGAACAGCATTTACGGCCATAGACCGGCTAGCGGAGGGAGGGAGGGAGGCCTGGACTCAGCAACAGCGTTACTGGAGTCTATGAATGGTACGTTTTTGCTAACGCTCTGTTATTTTCTTGAAACCTTTGTGTCCCTATCTGTTCTAAAGCTCACTTCTAACAAATAAGTCTATTGTATCCTTACATTTATGTTCGACAACCCATGCTTTTATGGAGCCCCGAAGGCTAGCTAGCTAGCTAAGACAGATAGCATTAGCTAGAGCTAGTGTTTGCTAACACCACATGTGCCATTGTTTACGTTCAGTTTGTCTTTTCTATAGTTGTTGTTGCTATTTATAGTATTGTGCTGCAGTAGTTTGTGGAATTAACAAGTCATGTTTCTGTTCTAGATGATTACGTTTTGAATAGCGAGGATGAACCAACACCGTCCGGTGCATCGATATCATCCATATCTACAGCACAAACTCCAGCTCGAGCACAGACACCAACACGAGCACAGACACCAACGCCGAGTGCCAGCTCGACACCGCGTGTGGTTCTAGGTAAGAAATAGGCTGGAATTGTGACTTTAAAAAAAAAATGTAGACCATCCATCGTCAGTAAGTAAAATAAGCTGTACCACTGTGTGCGAATGCTCTGTTACAAGTAAAGTAACTAGCTAGTAAGCAGCTAGTATCTAGGGCCAGAACTTTCTTTAATTCATCCTTACTGTTCTGTTTATACATTTTATTCTTATATCCTTGTGTGACCTGTACCTGTGTTTTTTCATTGTTATTGCTAATTATTATTTATATAATTATCTTGTCACCCAGGCAAGAGGAGACGAGGAGGAGAGGAACTGGCCCTGCTGGAACGGCAACTGGCCCAGCAGAAGGAACACCAGGAGCAGAACCTGGCCCAGCAGGAGAAGATCCATGCCGAGCAGAGGGAAGACCGGGTCCTGCAGGCTCAGTACATGAACCAGACCATGGTGGAGGCGAGGGAGGCGAGGGTGTTGGAAGCCGCCTTGAGAAGGGAGGAGATGGCTCACGCAGAGAGCTTTAATGCATCCTTCATGCGCACTATTTGCCAGGTGCTAGTGGGAACGGGCAGCCAACGTGCCCCGTCTCCTCCGCCTCTGTGATCCAATAACCTCTGGCTGTACTTTCTTGTATATTTTTTATCTTTAATACAATACAATCATTTTTTTTTTTGTATTGTATAATGCCATGCCTTTTTTATGCTGCTGCAAGAAAACACTTTGTGTTAAATAAAGTACTTCTTTGACTTATCTTATTGCTTGTTGATAAATAATTGCACCCAACAGCGATCACACAGAAAGATGGCATCATCTAGGCGTCCCTCTTCAGTCAGAAATATCATAAACACCATCATTGCCCACAAAGCACTGCACAGTGAAACCTTTATCATCTGTTGCAATTAAAGCAAATAAGAGAATAAATACTTGGTTAAATAAAACATTTTAAGTCTTTAGCAGGACAACTCTGCATACTGTTTGAAATTGAGTTTGCTCGCTTGAGGTCCTCTAAAACATAACATTACATATTTTGTAATGGTATTAAGAATACATGATAAATAATACATTTAGTAAAAATTACTCAATTGTAATACCCTCGTTGTGCTAGACTCAAACACATTGCTTATATATTTAAAAGAGAAGAGAACAAAATAAACTATAACTACACTGTAGCTATGTTCGTATGACAAAATACAAAACCTTGAAGCTGAATATAGTTCTGCTGTGTTTTACACTGTTGTATTTATGTTTATAGTTTGCTTTGATATTTGCTTAGATTATTTTTATGGGGCAGTAAATACTGGTGCTTGAAATTCAAATATTTACTAAATAGTCAATTCTGATAAAATGTCTTGGGTTTAAATAATTTGATAAACACATGTATGTGAAACATTATTTTTTTATTTATGTTCAATACCATACAATGACTATTTATGTATTCAGGTAGCGCATCAGACCCTCTCGTATGTCCCTGCCCTCCTCCTCTGCACCTTGTGCCACTGCTACCCCTGGCTCTGCTGCTGGTGCATCCCACCCATCATCATAGGTCTCTCCATGACTCTCGCAGAGGTTATGCAGAGCACAGCATGTCAGCACCATTGATTTAACAAGTTTCACATCACAGTCATTTCTTTTCATGAGGCAACGCCACCTTCCCTTCAGTCTACCAAAAGCGTTTTCAACCACTACCCGTGCTCTGCAAATCTTCTTGTTGTATGTCACATGTTCTTCTGTTAGCCGTCCAGTGTCAGCGAAGGGTTTTATGAGCCAGTTTTGCAAGGGATAGGCATTGTCTCCCAGGATGTAATAGCCAGCATTCACCCCACCAATGTTCCTGGTGCAAGCTGGAAAGTAGTTGCCACGACTGGCCAACTCCCACAATGTGGACAGTCTCAAAACCCGAGCGTCATGCAAGCTCCCAGGCATTCCTGCAAACACATTCCAGAAATGTCCCTTACCATCAACAACTCCTTGAAGGATGATGGAGTGCCAGCCTTTACGGTTGAAATAGTCACAGTGGTATTCCTGTGGTGCCAAGATGGGTATGTGTGACCCATCAATAGCACCTACACACTGAGGGAGCCCCCACCTGTTCTCAGTGTAGGCAGCCATTTCTGCAAATTTCTCCCGGTCTGGTGAACGAATTAGTTCCGGTACTAACAACGTCTCTGCAGCAGCACAGAAGTCTTGCACACACCGGCACACAGTTGTCTTGCTCACTCCGAAAATATGTCCTATGCTTCTGTACTCTGAGCCGGTAGCAAGCTTCCACAGTGCGATGGCCACTCTCTTCTTAAAAGGTATACACACGCGGAATGGTGTGTCCTGTCTCTCCATCGCTGGCCGCAGTTTGTTGCACAGGTAGACGTAGGTTTCTTCAGACATCCTGAAGTTCTCCACCCACTGAGTGTGTGTGAAAGATGGAACAATCACATTCCACCACTCGGTAGCTCGGTCGAGCATCCAAACACATGGTCTAGGGCGGCGAAGTAACTTCTGAAATACACAAACAAAAGCATACATATTTTAATACGTAAAAGTGGTAGCTACAATTAATTAAATACTTGAAATACTTTGGTCGTATGGGGAGCGTGAGCCTAAACACATTGCTACTGTAGTTAGCGAACGTTAGCTTACCAAGTAGCATTGTAGTCTCGAAGAAGTATTAGTAGTAGTAGTTAGAGTCCTCCTGTAGTCTCTGCGGGCTGCCAGAACTCTCGCGTCAGCTTCCTCTATACCTCGTCTTGCTACAAGTTGCCTCTTTCGAAACATCTCTTGCCTATTTCTTGTGATAAAGAACCACACAGCAAGCAACAAGCAAACGATCTTTTCAACATCCTCCATTGTTGTGTGTTGTGTCGCTTTGTCGCATTGAAGATGACGTCACGGCAGTTTTAAGCAGCGTCGCTCCGCCTACACTGCGTTACTATAGATACTGACCCGGTTCCTAAACTGTAATGGAAACGCGCCACAAAGTGAGCTGGTCCTAACGAGGCCGGGCGCGGCCAAAGGAGGCCGAGCGGGGCCGAGCGAGGCCGTGTAGTGGAAACGCGCCATTAAGGACCTCAGGGACAAGATTGTAGACCTGCAAAAGGCTGGGATTGGCTACACAACCCACTCTCTTCAGTCTGCGTACAAATGACACGACTTTACACATTGGAAATGTGTGCAATAGATACGCAGATTTTGCGTGCATATGATACGCCAACCAAATGAGCAGGCGACCGATTAGGCGATTTTCTGTAAGAGAGGCTCTCTGGACACATTTTTTTAACCAGATGAAGAGGAGATAGAGGAAGATTTCTCAGAAATGGAAGACAACAGCGATCCAGACTATGAGCCTACAACAGACCAGGAAGAGGCCCCTGAGGGAGAGGCCCCTGAGGGAGAGGAGGGAAAGGCCCCTGAGATAGAGGCCCCTGAGGGAGAGGAGCCTGAGGTGACATTCCAGTCCAAGAATGGCAACCTGCTCTGGCATTCATCCCCCCGGGAGAGAGGAGGCAGAGTAAGAGGGGAAAACATAGTGAGGATGACACCAGGGCCAACTCGGTATGCAGTATCTCGTGTGGATGAAATCAAATCCAGCTTTCAAATGTTTCTACCAGAGTCCATTGAAAAGATTATAATTGACATGTCAAACTTGGAGGGTAGGTGTGTGTTTGGAGACAAGTGGGAAGAATTGGACCAGGCAGCCCTCCAAGCCTACATAGGTCTGTTGATTCTGGCAGGATTATATGGTCAAACCATGACGCTACAATGAGTCTGTGGGATGCAGAGTCCAGCAGAGGACGAGAGGCGCTCTCCTCAAAATTCGCATTTACAGACACGCACACTCTGGTGTCATGTGTCCCAAAAAAAAACAAGAACGTTATCTTGATGAGCACCCTGAACAAAGATGCCGCTGTCAGCACCAGGGAGGATAGGAAGCCACAGATGATCCTGGACTACAACAGCAACAAAGGGGGAGTTGATTGCCTGGATAAGGTATAGTAATGTATTTGTTCATCTTTCATGCATGTTGATTCATGTAAAACATTTAGTTTTACGTCAGACAGATAAAATATTGCTTGCAAGTTTCTAATCTCTTATTCCTTGTTTTATTTCAGCTTACTGGTACCTACACCTGAGAATGACGGCCCGGTGGCCAGTGGCAGTGTTCCACAATATGATAGACATCTCTGCCTTCAATGCATATGTGGTGTGGACAGCAATAAATCCGGCCTGGAATGAGAGGAAGCACCACATGAGGAGACTCTTCCTGGCAGAGCTTGGGAAAGCTCTTCCTGGAAGAGCTTGGGAAAGCTCTGCCAACTTCTGCAAGGAACATTCAACCACAATTGTGCATTGCCAACTATGTGCGGGAACGAACGAACACACACACACACACACACACACACACACACACACACACACACACACACACACACACACACACACACACACACACACACACACACACACACACACACACAGTTTTGTTACCACAGTTGACAGCATGTATCCATTATTCACCAACTGTTCAACCTTGACTGAGACAATGAACCTCTACTCACTTCATCAGTGGAGACAAAAGTAGACAGCAAAGTATTACATCAAAACGTTAGGTTAAATATACTTTAAAGGAATACTATTAATTAAGCAGAAGAATAACCCTCATATATGTTATCTTGCGTTTTACAATATTTAATTATAATTTAATATGGATTGACATTTCAATCAATTTTACAGAGATTCAGTTTCAAAATACGTTTACCAGAAATGTAGTGACGTAGAAGTATAAAGTACTTACGCAAGTACTTAGGATCAAACTTGAGTATTAGTTTATTTTCTTCACTGTCCACAACTCATTTAAAGGTTCAGCTTGAGTATTTTTCATTTATTTAACAGGGACACACTGTAAAAATGGCTGTGAAATCCACAGTTATTTACAGTGTTTGTGCACAGTCAATTACTGTATACTATTTTAGAGTATAATACCGTGTTTCCTACCAAAAATTACTGTACCTCTGGAGTTACTTAAAAAATATCAGTAGTAACGTCCCAACTGTAGAAAATCACAGTAACCAACAATGTACTGTATATATTCACAGTAACCAACAATGTACTGTAGATATTCACAGTAACCAACAATGTATTGTAGAAGATCATAGTAACCAACAATGTACTGTAGAAGATCACAGTAACCAACAATGTACTATAGATAATCACAGTAACCAACAATGTACTGTAGAAGATCACAGTAACCAACAATGTACTGTAGAAGATCACAGTAACCAACAATGTACTGTAGAAGATCACAGTAACCAACAATGTACTGTAGATATTGTTAGAAGTATTCG